AGTGCGCCGCTCCTCACTCCTCCTCGTTTCCTCCGACTGAGGCTCCTCTGCAGACACTTCACATGGACGTGTGGGGCCCAGCCCGCGTCCGTGGACAGGGTCACGATCGTTACTTCCTGCTGGTCGTTGACGACTACTCGCATTACACCACAGTCTTCCCCTTGCGCAGCAAGGGTGAGGTCCCTGAGGTGTTGATCGACTGGATCCGCGGTGCTCGTCGCCAGCTTCGTGAGAGTTTCGGCTCAGACCTTCCTGTTCTGCATCTGCACTCAGACAGAGGCGGGGAGTTTTCCTCCGACCTCCTGAGAGCCTTCTGTCGTTCTGAGGGCATCCGCGAGACGTTCACGCTTCCAGCCTCCCCGCAGCAAAATGGGATTGCTGAGCGCCGCATTGGCATGGTCATGGACGTCGCTCGTACGTCCATGATCCATGCGGCTGCTCCCCATTTTCTGTGGCCGTTCGCGGTTCAGTACGCTGCGCATTAGATCAACCTTCAGCCTCGTGTCTCCTTGCCGGAGACCACACCTACTCTGCGGTGGACGGGGAAGGTTGGCGATGCGTCCGCGTTCCGTGTCTGGGGATCTCGAGCTTTTGTCCGCGATACTATAGCGGACAAGCTGTCCTCCCGTGCCGTTCCCTGTGTCTTCCTTGGCTTCCCTCCTGACGCACCCGGGTGGCAGTTCTACCACCCCACCTCGCGTCGTGTACTGTCCTCTCAGGACGTCACGTTTGACGAGTCGGTGTCGTACTACCGTCTTTTTCCCTACCGCACTGCCTCTCCCCCCCCCCCCCGCCGCTCTTCCTCGCACCAGGTACTCCCCCGGTGGACCCCCTCCCCCCCCAGAGTCCTGCCCCCTCAGGTGTGTCTCAGGTAGACCCTGCCGAGCCGGTCGAGGTAGCTGTCGACTCAGGTGCTACTAGGGGTGCTGAGCCTGCGGGTGCGGGGACTGGGGGTGCTGAGACTGGGGGTGCTGAGTCTGGGGGTGCTAAGTTTGGGCGTGCTGAGCCTGGGGGTGCTGAGCCTGGGCGTGTGGAGCCTGAGGGTGCTGTGTCTGGAGGTGCTGAGCCTGCGCGTGCTGCGTTTGGAGGTGCTCTCAGTGTCCCGCCGCGGCGGGAGCCTCTCTCTCCACAGCAGCTTCGTGACTGGTACTCTCGGCGCTGTCGGGGTACTACTGGAGCTTATGGAGGTCCTGCTGGGGCTTCTGGAGGTGCTGCTGGTGCTGGAGGTGCTGCTGCTGCTGGTGCTGCTGGAGGTGCTGCTGCTGCTGGTGCTGCTGGAGGTGCTGCTGGTGCTGGTGCTGCTGGAGGTGCTACTGGAGGTGCTGCTGTTGCTGGAGGTGCTGCTGGAGCTTCTGGAGATGCTGCTGGTGCTGGTGCTGCTGGAGGTGCTCCTGGAGGTACTGCTGGTGCTGGAGGTGCTGCTGGAGCTTCTGCTGGTGCTCCTGGAGGTGCTGCTGGTGCTGGAGGTGCTGCTGGAGCTTCTGGAGGTGCTGCTGGTGCTGGTGCTGCTGGAGGTGCTGCTGGTGTTGCTGGGACTGGAGACCCTAGGGCTGAGGGTACCGGTTCTGTCTCTGCTGTTTCTGGAGGCGCTGTGCGGCCGCGGCCGTACTACGTTCCGCTTCTTCAGCAGGTTCTTGGCTCCCCGCCTTCTCCTGGTCCTCCACCTCCTTCCCTGAGTCCACTGCCTGTCCCGTCTCAGTCGCAGTTACAGCCGGCCTCTCCGCTGCCTGGTCCTTCTCCTTACTCTGGACCGACTAGAGGTCTTACGGAGCGTCGTGAGCCTGAGTCGCGTCCTGTGTCGCCTGTGTCTCGTTCTACGTCGCCTGTCCATTCTGTTCGCGCTGGTCGTGTTTCGCGTCCGCGTCCTCCTCCTGTCCCTGGCACCCACTCTATGACTCTGCGTCCTTCTACTGCTCCACAGCGTGTCCCTCTGCCGTCTCCTCCTGCGTCCTCTCTTCCTGACGGTCCTGACCCGGAGTCTGACTCCCTTCGTGCTGCTCGTCCTACTGTCACGCGCTTTCTGGCCACTGCTGTCACTGACCCTCTGTTTGAGTCCTCTGCTGTGTCTGCTCTTGTTACTGAGCTTGTTGAATTTGCTGCCGCCTGTCGCCTAGACTACGCCACTAGTCTTGTTGCTGAGTCTGTCTGTCCTCCGTCCGTCGGGGGTGAGTGTGCTCTTGGCACGGACGTTCTTGAGGACAGACAGGAGGAGTTTGAGTGCTTTGCTGCTTCTGTACCTCATCTCGTGTCCATGCTGCTGACCCCTGAGGGAGACCCGGATGCACTAGACATCCCGACCCCGCGCTCTTACGCAGAGGCGATAGAGGGTCCCTACTCCTCTCAGTGGCAGGCAGCCATGGACGCAGAGATGGCTTCCTGGAAGTCCACAGGCACCTACGTAGACGAGGTTCCCCCACCTGGGGCGAACATCGTCAGTGGCATGTGGATCTTCAGGGTGAAGCGGCCGCCGGGTTCTCCGCCTGTCTTCAAGGCGCGTTACGTTGCACGTGGCTTCAGTCAGCGACAGGGAGTTGACTTCTTTCAGACCTTCTCCCCTACCCCGAAGATGACCACTCTTTGGGTACTGCTGCACGTTGCTGCTCAGCGTGACTACGAGCTCCACTCGCTTGACTTCAGCACAGCCTTTCTGCAGGGCAGCCTGCACGAGGAGATCTGGCTGCGCCGCCCACCTGGCTTCACTGGGTCGTTTCCTGCTGGTACCCAGTGGAGCCTCCGGCGGCCAGTCTACGGTCTCCGCCAGGCACCCCGTGAGTGGCACGACACACTCAGGACGACTCTTGCTTCTCTTGGTTTTGCTCCTTCCACTGCTGACCCTTCTCTGTTTCTACGCACTGACACTACTCTGCCGCCGTTCTACGTTCTCGTGTACGTAGACGACCTCGTCTTTGCTACTGCTGACACTGAGGCACTCGCCCACGTGACGTCCGAGCTGCAGAAGAGACACACGTGCACAGACCTGGGTGAACTGACAAGCTATCTTGGCTTGCGGATCACCCGGGACAGAGCACAGCGCACCATTACCTTGACTCAGTCACACATGGTGCAGCAGGTCCTTCAGCGCTTCAGCTTCACGTAGTCCTCGCCACAGTCCACTCCTCTGCCTACCGGTCACTCGCTCTCAGCTCCACCTTCGGACGAGTCCGTAGAGCCGAGTGGCCCGTATCCAGAGCTTGTGGGCTGCCTCATGTACCTGATGACTTGCACACGACCTGACCTCGCATACCCTCTCAGTCTTCTGGCTCGCTACGTGGCTCCCGGCAGGCACCGAAAGGTGCACTGGGATGTTGCGAAGAGGGTGTTGCGATACTTGTGCAGTACATCAGGCATGGGGCTCGTGCTTGGAGGACGGGCTCGAGTTGTCCTCACTGGTCACGCTGACGCCTCCTTGGTTGACGACTTGACTACGCAGCGGTCGTCACAGGGTTACACCTTCAGTTTTGGCTCCGGTTCTGTCTCTTGGCGGTCTACCCGCTCTTCTTCTGTTCTCAGCTCCAGTTGTGAGGCTGAGATCTACGCTGGGGCCATGGCTGCACAGGAGCTACGCTGGCTCACCTACCTGCTGACCGACTTGGGAGAGGCGCCTCGTTCTCCTCCAGTTCTGTACGTCGACAACAAGGCCATGCTGGCTTTGTTTCAGGAGCACAGACTGGAGCACAGAATGAAGCACATTGCTCTGTGCTACTTCCTTGCTCGAGAGTTGCAGCAGCGTGGTCAGCTTCGTCTTGCTTACGTGGCCTCTTCACCAAGGCACTTCAGCCTTGTGATCATCAGCGTTTCTGTACTGTGTTAGGCCTTGTACCTACTGTGCCTCACTTGCTTTCTTCTTGACTCTGCCTGTACTGTACTCTTTATACATATACTTGCATGCTTACACTTGCTAGGTTGTGTTCACTGTATTGTTTGTTCTCCTTTATATAACTCTACATGTGAACTGGCCTTGTGGCCATTTGCTTGTGCTCAGACTGTGTGGTGACTTTGTGATCCACCCTGAGCTTGCTTTGCCTTTCTTGACTGGTCTTGTGACCTCTTGTTCTCCCCCACTTTGCCTATGGGGGTGTGTCAAACTTATATTCTATGGTCTGTTTAGGCTGTAGTGGGGTAGTCCTTACAGGGTACAACACTTTTAGGTTTCCTATATGTACCCACCTGCTTTCTAGTTCAGTCATGCATTCGTTCTCATTCTAACATAAATACCATGTCAGAATAGATGTGCTGGAATGAATGAACTATGAATGAGTTGGGTACAAGTACTAACCGTAAAGTGTTGTACCCCTTGTAGGCTAACCCACTATAGCCTAGAGAGAACACAAACATATAGTTTGACACCTTTGACTCGACAAAGGCAGCACGACAGCAAGGACAAATAACTGACTCGCTACTGAGCAGTTACCCGAGTCGTCGCTGTATCGAACCGTGTCAGAGGTCCACTGGTGATCCCCGATTGATCCTAGGGAAGGGTTACAGGCTCGTTGTCCTGGGGGGTTATGGGCGCACCGACCCGCTACTTAACAAGCTCTTTTATCCCAATGGTCGAGTGGTTGGGATTCTGACATGGTATCAGAGCGAAGGTCTCGGGTTCGAATCCCAGTGTGTGCACTTCGTGCATCCCAGTGCGGGGGGGTGTCAGAGGTCCACTGGTGATCCCCGATTGATCCTAGGGAAGGGTTACAGGCTCGTTGTCCTGGGGGGTTATGGGCGCACCGACCCGCTACTTAACAAGCCATTTTATCCCAATTGTCGAGTGGTTGGGATTCTGACAAACCGCACTAGCAGTTTTTGTTGCGGTTAGTTAAACCTTACATATTCCCTGTAATCATATAAAAGCCTTGTATCTCTATGCTATGATTAACTTATCTTGTTCTCACACACCAGTGCAAGGTGGTTCAATCTTTCTTCATTAAAGATGCTTCCGCTATTACATCACTCAGAGCTTTAGTCCTTGAAAGCGATCCTAAGGGCTTTTCTCAGCCCAACACACATTAGCCATACCCGCCCAGCGGATCCTCCTCCTCCACCTCCCCATCCCCTCCATACGCAGCAAACGGGTCTTCATACCCTATCGTCCCTCCCATCTCCTCCTCCCCCTCCCCATATTCCGCCTCACCATAGTCACCTTCTACTTGAGTCGCAGCAACACTCTCTTGTGTCACAACCCCATACTCTCCTGTTCCATCCGCCCCTGCGCCATAATCACCTTCCCCATATGCACCTTCACCACCCATTCCCTCCTCCCCACCATCCACACCATCTCCCTCTCCATGCGCCTCCCCTAGCCCGTCTCCTGCTTCCTCTGCCCTTCCCTCCTCCTCCCCCTCTCCTGCAGGCTCTGCTGCCACTGCTCTCCACTCCTCCATCTCCACTTCCTCCATCATCCCCTCATCCTCCTCATAAGCCTCCTCGTTACCAGCACCTTCTCCCTCCTCTCCAGCTCCCCCATCCATCCACGCACTACCCCCCTCTCCTCCAGCCGTCCGTCGTCGCTTCCCCTGGAGATTACTTCCCTCAACAGCAAGAGCACCACCACCAGCAGAAGCAGAGGCGGCTATGTTGTGGAGTGCGTTGGCAGCAGCAGCGGTGGCAGCAGCAACAGCTGCCCCAGGTCGTCCCATCACTGCTGCTCCCTGCTGCCGCTGGCTTACCCTCTGCCTGCTCGCCTCCACCCTCCCTCTCACAGCAACGGCACCACCAGGTACAGCATCAGCAGCGGCGGCAATAGAGGCACGAGCAGGAGGAGACGCAGAGGAGCCGGCCAGTGTTTCTCTGACTTGCAGCGCCAGCTGTGGATTGAGAGCCGAGGCCAGGCGCTCGTACTGCTGCTTGTCTGGTGGGACGGAGAAGGGTGAGAGGGATGGGAGGTGAGGAGAATCAACAAGGTCTCTTGATGCGCCTCGCAACACCAGATGACGGTTAAAAGCCGAGGCCTGTTGCTCGTACTGCTGCTTGTCTGATGAGTGCGTGTGTGAAGAGGTATGGGCGCACCATTATCGTACATGAAAATCTGACATACTGCACTAGTATCTTAACCCCAGACATTCACTCCACCCCTATCACCCACCCACCTGCACATACAATCCATGACAGCATGAGTCACAAGGAGTGGGTGCAGTGTCTCTTCCCGCTTGAATCGTGGCTCTCATCGTTCCAGGTGCACCTTTCAGGTATGTACCCATCAGTCACCTATCAGCGTTGGTCATACCAGTAACCCACCTGTGCATCGGTGTGTGAGCGCATGTGTGACGAGGTGTGGGGGCAGCATCTCCTCCCGCTTGAACTTGGCCTTCATCCTTCAAGGTGCATCACTCGAACATCTACAACACTACAACCCTGTGACCCGCCTGTGCATCGGTGTGTGAGCGCATGTGTGACCAGATGCGGGTGCAGCGTCTCCTCCCGCTTGAACTTGGCCTTCATCCTTCAAGGTGCATCACTCGAACATCTACAACACTACAACCCTGTGACCCGCCTGTGCATCGGTGTGTGAGCGCATGTGTGACCAGATGCGGGTGCAGCGTCTCCTCCCGCTTGAACTTGGCCTTCATCCTTCAAGGTGCATCACTCGAACATCTACAACACTACAACCCTGTGACCCGCCTGTGCATCGGTGTGTGAGCGCATGTGTGACCAGATGCGGGTGCAGCGTCTCCTCCCGCTTGAACTTGGCCTTCATCCTTCAAGGTGCATCACTCGAACATCTACAACACTACAACCCTGTGACCCGCCTGTGCATCGGTGTGTGAGCGCATGTGTGACCAGATGCGGGTGCAGCGTCTCCTCCCGCTTGAACTTGGCCTTCATCCTTCAAGGTGCATCACTCGAACATCTACAACACTACAACCCTGTGACCCGCCTGTGCATCGGTGTGTGAGCGCATGTGTGACCAGATGCGGGTGCAGCGTCTCCTCCCGCTTGAACTTGGCCTTCATCCTTCAAGGTGCATCACTCGAACATCTACAACACTACAACCCTGTGACCCGCCTGTGCATCGGTGTGTGAGCGCATGTGTGACCAGATGCGGGTGCAGCGTCTCCTCCCGCTTGAACTTGGCCTTCATCCTTCAAGGTGCATCACTCGAACATCTACAACACTACAACCCTGTGACCCGCCTGTGCATCGGTGTGTGAGCGCATGTGTGACCAGATGCGGGTGCAGCGTCTCCTCCCGCTTGAACTTGGCCTTCATCCTTCAAGGTGCATCACTCGAACATCTACAACACTACAACCCTGTGACCCACCTGTGCATCGGTGTGTGAGCGCATGTGTGACCAGATGCGGGTGCAGCGTCTCCTCCCGCTTGAACTTGGCCTTCATCCTTCAAGGTGCATCACTCGAACATCTACAACACTACAACCCTGTGACCCACCTGTGCATCGGTGTGTGAGCGCATGTGTGACCAGATGCGGGTGCAGTGTCTACTCCCGCTTGAACTTGGCCTTCATCATTACTAAGACATCTACTTGAATTCTGTCACAGTGTCACCCATACCTGTGACTCACCTGTGCATCGGTGTGTGAGTACATGAGTAACATAATGAGGGTGCAGCGTCTCACAAAGGTCTACTACACTAAACCCTGTGACCCACCTGTGCATCTGTGCGTGAGCGCATGTGTGACGAGGTGTGGGTGCAGCGTCTCCTCCCGCTTGAACTTGGCCGTCATCCTTCAAGTCAAAGTGCGTCTCACAAAGGTCAACTACACTACAGCCCTGTGACCCACCTGTACATCGGTGTGTGAGTGCATGAGTAACCAGGTGCGGGTGCAGCGTCTCTTCCCGCTTGAACTTGGCCTTCATCTGCCGCCGAGAGCGCTTGGGAAAGAGCGCCTGCAGCATCTCAAAGTCCGTTCCAAACTGCTGCAGCGCCTGGAGACGAGACGGGTCACAGGGGTATCAGGTTTAAGCAAGAGAGAGGGGGGATAAAGCTTAGGAGGGAGCGCCTGCAGCATCTCAAAGTCTGTGCCAAACTGCTGCAGCACCTGGAGACGAGACGGGGTTATCACGACAGGGGTATCGGAGGCTGGGAAGAGAGAGGGTGAGCAGAGTCTAGGAAAGGGCGCCTGCAGCATCTCAAAGTCAGTGCCAAACTGCTGCAGCGCCTGGAACCAAACACAGGAGGCAGGGGCAGGGCAGCAACGGAGAGGGGAAGGGGGGCCTAAGGGGAAGAGCGCCTGCAGCATCTCAAAGTCTGTGCCAAACTGCTGCAGCGCCTGGAACCAAACACAGGAGGCAGGGGCAGGGCAGCAACGGAGAGGGGAAGGGGGGGCTAAGGGGAAGAGCGCCTGCAGCATCTCAAAGTCTGTGCCAAACTGCTGCAGCGCCTGGTGGCAAGCACAAGAGGCAAGGCAGCAGAGGAGCAGGGGAAGGTTGGGACGAGAGGAGGGGGGGGGGTTGAGGGACTTAGGAAAGAGCGCTTAGAGTCCGAACTGCAGCAGCGCTTGTAGACGGGACAGGGGCATCAGACGAGCGAGGAGGGGGGAAGGTGGGGGGCGGGTGAAGCTTATGGAAGAGAGCTGAGCTGCTAACAACCACTGCAACCAGCAGCCCTCAAAATTGTAACTCTCGACCGAGCCGCCTCGTCTGCCGCTCTTAAGTTTTCTTCGTACGACTCCCGCAGTTGAGTCTTGCGTGCTTGCGATGACCCTCTGTGCTGCCACAAACAGCCACCCACCTGGTAGCATACCACTGGGTCGTCTCGTCCACACTCCACCGGTCGCTCTTCTCCCGCTTCATATGCGTGCCGTAGTTGAGCCTTGCGTGCTTGCAATGACCCTCTGTGGTGCCACAAACAGCCTCCCACCTGGTACCACTGGGTCGTCTCGTCCACACTCCACCAGTCGCTCTTCTCCCGCTTCATATGCGTGCCGTAGTTGAGCCTTGCGTGCTTGCAATGACCCTCTGTGGTGCCACAAACAGCCACCCACCTGGTACCACTGGGTCGTCTCGTCCACACTCCACCGGTCGCTCTTCTCCCTCTTCATATGAGTCCCATAGTTGAGCCGCGCTGAGCTCTCCTCCACTCGCTTATACCCCTCCATCGCATCGTCCCTCCCCCCCTGCGCATCCACCGTGAGACTCGCCTCGTTCACCACGATACGCCCGTCGATCACTGTCACCTGGGGAGCGAACACCCCACCACCGCTGTTGCCAGGAGGGGTGTTGCTGGCAGGTGCAGACGCAGCAGGGCTGGTGGGTCGATTTTGGGAGGAAGGGAGGAAATGCAGGGAGAGACAGTGTGGTCAATAATTGCCAACATACTCCCAGTCGACTCTAAAACTCGCCTCGTTCACCACGATGCGCTTGTCGATCACTGTCACCTGGGGGGCGAATACCCCCCCGCCGCTGCCACCGCTGCCAGGTGGGGGGTTGCCGGCAGGTGCAGAGGCAGCAGGGCTGGTGGGAGGGTTGTGCAAGGGACGAAGGAATTGCAGGAGGAAACGGCAGCCCTTCATTGCGAGCATCTTTCCAGTCCATTCTCGCCTCCTTCACCACGATGCACCCGTCTCTCACTGTCACCTGTGGAGCGAATACCCCCCCCCGCCCTCTGCTACCGCTGCCAGGTGGGGGTTTGCTGGCAGGTGCAGAGGCAGTAGGGCTGGTGGGAGGGTACAGGAGGCCAGGGGGAAGGACAGGAGGAATTGTTCAACGGAATGCCAACAGGAACGGGTGTTGATTATTGTCACTGGGTTGTGGCAGGCAGCTTTTGAGTAGACTCGAACCCAAGAACCGCCTTGTTCACCACGATGCGCCCGTCTCTATCACTGTCACTGGGGGAGAGAGTGCCCCGCCGCCGCTGCCGCTGCCAGGTAGGGGATTGGTGGCAGGTGCAGGGCTGGTGGGTGGGTAGAGCGAGGGAGGAGTAAAATGCAGGATTAACTTGTCAACGCCACATAATTAGACCCTCGTTGCATTCCCTCTTCAATCTTGCACTCCTCACCACCATCCCACTGACATCACTCACTTTCAACCCGTCCAAACCTCTCCCATCATCCACCGACCCTCAACACCATCCCCCACCCACCCCTTCACATCACAACTACACATAAACCCTTCCATCACCCCTCCACATCACCCCTCAATACCATTCCTCCGCATCACCCTCCCCCACGCACCCCTCACTGTCATCATGCATGCACCTCCTTGCCTCGCCTCCTGGCCAACTTCCTCCCCACGCTCCCACTCCTCCCCACCACCCTTCTCTCCCCTCATTCCCCCCCTCAGCAGTACCACCCCTCACTACCACTCTAAAACCCCACGCACCCCTCACAATCATCGTTCACGTCCTCGCCTCGCCTCCTGGCCAGCTTCCTTCTGTTCCGCTCCACCTCCTCCTCTATCCGCTTCTTCTCCTGCTCCTCCTTCTCTTTCTGTACACACATAGACCGGGATGGGAGGGTATGGAAAGGGGAAGGGTGGATATGGGAGGGTGGAGGAGTGAATGGGTGGGGGAGAACTAAAAATATTAGAAAAATAGGGACTTTATTTTATAGGCCAGTCCCCCTCCTGAGAACGCACCTCCATCAATATTGCATCTTGACCCAAGCCCCTCACTCACTCTCCCACCCCTCTGTCGAGCACTTTGGCGCGCTGAACGACCTGCTGAATCATGAAACTGGAATCATAATCGCCTACTTTTACCCACATGCTAGCCTACCTAGCCAAAAGCCTGCTAACCTGGACTGGACCCGAGCACCTCACTCTCTCACCTCACGGTCGAGCACTTCAGACCGCTGAATGATCTGCTGGATGGTAAAGCTGGAATTATGATGGCCCGCCTTACCCTGGCTACCTTGACCCAAGCACCTCACTCTCTCACCTCACGGTCGAGCACTTCGGAGCGCTGAATGATCTGCTGGATTGTGAAGCCCGACAGGTCCTCCGCTGCTAGTAGCTCCGGGGTCACCTGCGAGCCTGGTGTGTCAGGGAGGTGGAAAGCGAGGGGAGAAGGGGCGGGAGAAGGGGAGAGAGGAGGGGCGGGGGGGTGGGGTTGGTGGGGGGGGGTGGGGGGGTGTTGAAGGGTGAGAGTGGGAGGTGGGAGGGGGTGGGGGGGGGGGGGGGGGGGGGGGGTTAGCGGCTTTGGGGAAGAGGGAAGGCAGCGGTGATGAGTGTTGGCAGGCCAAAATTAAAAGTCCCTCTGCTGTCAGCAGTTCAAGTGTAGCCTGTGAGTTTAAATGGAAAGAAGGCTGACGTAAACCAACACGTTTTGATGCCCGCATCAGGAGTTTCAGCACCTGATTTCAGATCTAGGGTTCCTATGTGAATTCTAGGGTTCTAGCGGTTCAGGTTGAGGGTTCAGGATTTTAGACAGGGATACTCACGCCTTTTCCCTTTGCGGAACGAGTGTGGGAAGAAGACTCCCTTGGTTCCCGACCCAATCACGCCTCGGCTCTTATCCCCCTCAGACGCCTCTTTCTCCTTCGCCCTCCCTCTCGCATTTCCCCGCACCGCTGCATCTGCTGCTCCTGGGGCAGTGCTAGGCGCAGCACCAGCAGCATGAGCTGTAGGCGCGGCATTTCTATGAGGACCGTTTTCTAGGGAGCCAAGCGCAGGAGCACGTGGAGCGGGACGAGCGGACGCGGGGGGAGCGGGGAGGGTAGGAGCATGGGAGGAGGGAGCGGGGGGAGCTGCAGCAGTGGCAGTTCTGGAAGGGGCGCCAAAACCCCCTTGAACGGAACCTAACCCTTCTGTTTGAGGTGTCGCCCTGGCTAGTACTGCTGCCGAAGGGGACGGTGCAAGTGAGGCCGAAACAAGAGCTTCTGGCGCTGCAAACCGGGAGGGTAGTTGTGGAGCGGGAGTCGGAGCGTCGGGAAGGGGACGTTGCGCTGGTGCTGATGTTCGTCCGGATGGGACGGTAGCAGCTGCAGCGGCTGTCGCGCGGACGGGCAGCGCTACCGCCTGCGCAGCACCCCCTACATTTCCCGGTGGAGCAGTGTGCCCTCCTGATGGACCGGCTGCTGGGCCAGATTGCCCTGTGGGCGCAGCTGCTTCAGAACCCGCCCCTCCGCCAGCTCCTCCCTTCCTAGCGCGAGGATTGAGCTTCGGCTGAAAGGCAGCCGTTCGTGGACCTGCAATAGTAAGAGAAGACGAAGAAGCTAAGGAGGACGTAGTGCACGAGGCGCAGCTAAGCAAAAAGAAGGCGTATCCGACGCATAAGCCAGAAAAGAGTCAATGTAGAAAAGAGTAGAATTACGATTATCGAAAGCATATAAAGGAGAAAGCTACCGAAGTTCAAAACATGAAGACCTACCAGACGCTGATTCGAGCGCTGCATCTAGCGACGAAAGCATTGTGCGGGAAAACAGGGAGCGCGGTGAAGGAAAAAGTGGTCAACTTCTATCACTTGCGATATTGCTGTTTGACAAAACTCATGTCCCAAAAGTGATGTGTGGTTATGGTGAAGTTGCGTTGGGAGGGGAGTCACACAAATATCCATATCACGTAATTGTGTCCCTCTTTTTCCTCTAAATCTGGAAAATCTTTCATTGTTCCACGAAGAATAAAACCAGTAGAACCTTTTCATTGAGAACAGAAAATACGAGTAATAAACTACACATTAAAATACACAGCCTATCTCTAGCAAACATACGGATTATGCATCCCAAGCGTCTTAGGGTACATTCCTGTGGGGACACTTGTGTCTCAATCACTTTGTAACACCCAAAAACAACATAAACTGTGTTGTGTCCCAAATGCGAATCGGCTTTCGGCGACTTGTACTGTATTTATTATTGGTCAGCGTGAAACGCGCTGACATCGCTGTCGAATTGTGAAACGACCCGTCATTGTTAAAGAATCGCACGCGACTCGAAATGCCCGACACGACCACATGCACCTGGACATCCGAAAATGCCAATTTTGCGAGGGAAAAGATCCCGCGCATCGAAACCACGCCCCTGCTCGGAGGTTGAAAATACGGGTGTACTGTCACCCAGTCAAATGCACACACCTGTACATCTCTTTTTGATCCCCGCCAGTGAAACGTGTCCAACTGAACCTGCCAATATGTCGCCCTACATCGCGGTACATTCGATGTTTGTGACACAACATTGGGAAAATTAACAGGCGCGACTCGGGAAAACGGGGATTGAGACACAAGTGTCCCCACAGGAATGTACCCTTATTTCCATCTAAGTTCACTCAAAGAGCTCTCATTGTAACGGCCAACATTGTCACTGTCCACCTCCAGCAAGTATCTTACCATGTGTTTGTCCAAAGTCGTTCCGCACAGAAACTGACAATGCACTTTCCCAGTGCAAGCAGCATCCTCCAGCTCACTCGCAAGCCTGAACTCTCTGCCTTTGTTGAAACCTTCAGTCTGCCAGTTCTCAATTACCCTCATTTCCGGTTCAGGACCACTCAGTAGATGAAAGAGGTCTGTACCAGCAAGATCGACGTAGTACTGAATGTCCAGCTTCAATCTGCACTCATCCATAGATTCGTGCAACTTGTTCAGAATGTCGATGTCATTGCTGGCTTCATTCTTGCTGTTCTCATACGCCAGTGCAACTGCATTCAAGTTTCCGTATCTGCACAGGGAAAGTGTAAGGTCAGGCAAACATGATTTGTTAGCATACGTGGTAGAGAAAACAAACCAACTTACCCAAAAATGTTGTTTGGCACCAGCACGTTCCCCTCTCCCCATTCATTCCATGCAGTGAGGAAGAAGAGGTTGGGGGTCGTTCCATTGTTCGCATCATTTCGAGCGATTCTGAATCTCTCCTCCAGCCTTGCCTCCACATGAACAGGATCATCATCAAGGTCCCCAACGACAAAATGTGGGTCGAGGTTGTGCCTTGGGAAGTTGTCCCAACCAAGATATTCCCCCCGGTAATGAGCTTTGTGCAGCCTTTTTGTTGGAGATTCAGTCTTCATCCGCCCCTTTTTCAGATTGGGCTGATACTCCATGATAGCATTGACATTTCGAGAAACACCTGTGTCTTTATGGCCCAGGCACTGGATAATATGGAGGCCAGGCAAACCTTCCTCTTTAGAGAGTGATCGCCAAAGCTTCAGCATTGGCCTCAGCTCCTTGATAAGGGGGACGATGTAGATTCCAAAAGCCGGCTTATTATTGACTCTTATGTAGTTAGGGTGCTTGAAAAGGGGTAGCAGCCACTGAAAATGCAACCGCCAGCATGTCTCATTCCCGTAGCTCTGCAACAAAGGATCATGAACTGAGAATATTTGCCTCACACCGTGCAGCTCGTTGTTGTAAGATTGCTTTTACCTGTGACTGAAGTATTTCGCCTGTCTCTCCAGTCCAATGCCGGGTCCAGGCTTCATTTGCCCAAATGAGCATAAACGGGAGGTCTGGCTGTCCATCTTTCAGCATTTCCATAATGACCGACTCCATAAATACAGTGTTGCACTCAAACCAGTAGTGATGAAATGCGAAGCCCTGCAAACGTAATCAAATTCTGCAGGTGGGTCAAGAGAAAAGGAAACAGAAAATAACTGTAACATTGTCTGCTATGCTCACGTGGATGCCATAAAACCTTGCCAGCTTTCCCATTCTTGACCGTTGGGAATGGCCGAGCATGTTATAATAACCTCCGTAAGCTTCAATAGGATGTTTGATGGGTTGAAAGTTCCACGGGTTATAATATGCCAGCTTCAAGTTTGTCCATTCGGTGAAGTTAGTTCCCCAAAACAAATCATTTTCTTTGAATGCATGGTACTACACGGGAAAACGGCTTTGTCAAGATGTTAGATCACATTAGAATGAAGAAAATGGTCACACACCTGAGGGAAGACCACCGCAATCATATGCAAATTTTCGTCTGTGAACACTGGACCGATTTTCTGCTGGTCAGTGAAGGGAATAGACTGTACCACTGGTAGGCGCCTGAGAGCCTCATAGTCTTGTCCTCTGACAAGAAGTCGGCACTGAAAGGATGAGTCACGCGTTAGTAACAATGCATGTCATCGCATAAACATTGGCTAAGTTGGCTTCTTGCCTGATAGTTTTTCAGCCGAGGCGATACACCTTCCATCCTTTTATATCTGAAGCTGATTGCGTGGTCGAAGAACGAGCCTGGAATGCCAGGAGACCTCCACCGCGTCAAAACGTCGTAGTTGGAGTGATTCTTCCACAGCACCGCGCTAGTGTCTCGAATTAGCTTGCAATCCTTTTTGGCCTTGGTGTCGAGTCTTCCATATTGTTTCATCATTTGATTAGCAATAATAGCGATCTCGGGTGCCTGATGAATTCGAGGATCAGATGTCCCCAATCAGAAGCAAGGGCCAAAATGAGCTCGGAAGGGGATTATTTACCTGCCACGGTTGGACTTCATTATGCATAACGAGAGATGAGTGATATTGACCTCCTGATGTCACGCAAGGACGCTTGCATGATCCGCAATGCTCTCTATGTTATTTCCTAATTTCCAGGATAGCCGGCGATGCCATGAACCAGTTCCCGCTGGAAATAAGGACAGACGGTAGCACACTCCACACACCAGCATTAGGAGAATAAGAGCGACAATTCTTTCGCGCTTTTGGAAAGTAACAAGAGGCCATTGTCTACTAGAGACGGGAGAACCATCCCTGATCCCAGCCATGACACAGGGAGCCTACTTGATAGTGACTAAGATTCCTAGCTTGAATGTTGGTTGTGATGATGGTGACGAAATTTCAACCCCCAAAGAGGGTCATCGTGACTTGTCAGGCTGTGTGAACAATTGCTGGTTTACTAGGTCCATTTAACCCAAAGAGCAAGCGTAACCACATTGCTTCGTCGAGTCCTTGATGTAACCACTTTAGACTTTCAAGGAATTCGTGTACGGGGTTCCCAAGTTCAACGAAGACTGCTTCCGACACGAGCGAATGTCGCTGAAGCATAGTCCCTTTTCACTGGTTGCAGCAGAGTGCAGAACATCGGGATTCGCAGTAACCAGATTCGCTCGAGCCACAATGCTTTTTCTACAGTGCGGTTACAGTTTCCCCCAACCAAGAATCCACCAACTGAGCAAAAATTGATGCAAGCAAAATATGTGGAAACGCATTTGCTCGCTTGCTGCTTTCCACTGCCTGCCGCCGCGTTGTCGGGTCAAAAAACTTGCACATTATCAACCGACTTTCCGCTCCATGGCTGCCACAGCAACACCACTTCCTGAATCAGTTGTCCAGCAATTTCGCGAATTGGATCGCGTTCGACGGGAGCAGGACGTTGTTGTGAAGAAGATCAATAAAATCCACTCTAAATTAAGCCAAACCCGTACGTAATGGGCATCGTTCTCATGTTTAGAAGGTTCCCTTTATCGGCTCATAACTTGTTCGTGTGTGTCCCATCCATCATTCTGAACGAGTGCAGCACGAGAGACGGCAGAACGCTTTGGAGAGAAGCTGTGGATAAAGCTACGGGGATTCTACGTGGAGGCCAAACGCCTAGCAGATCTTGAAGAAAGGTGCGTACAATATTGCACACTCTTTCGCATTGCTCCCTTCCATTCATCCATGAAAGCGAGTTACCTGTCACGGCAACTTTCGCCGACATCCCTGCAACTTAGTTACTTGCTGATTTGACTTCGGTTTCGTACGTTTCTGCTTCCCCGTTCCAGTCTCTGTACCTCATGCATCAGAGAACTCGACCCATCACAAGTGTCAGCCATTTCAGCGCCGCACGGAACCAAAAAGAAATCAGGCAGGTTATTACAATCGCATGTTCAGTGTTCGGGAATCTATCCAGACATTCAGGTTTGCCTAGTGGGATGTATCACACTCTTCCAATCGCTCTGTACAGTGTCACTTGAAAGAAACAACATCCGTGGTTGTTACCTGTTTCTCCGAGTCTCATCTTCCTCTCCAATCCGTTGTGTTCAGATGGTCCTTTGGAAGGTGGGAGGAAGAAACGTCAGCGCACAGTTCCAGTCGCTGATGGAGCAGCTGGTGGGGACGGTGGTCCAGGGAACTCTCTAGGTCTGAGCTCATCTGCTGCTGGCCTCAATGATGGCGCTTCTGCAGCGTTGGCAGTTGCCCTGACACGGGTTGTGGTGGGAGAACAGGTGAGGTAGGAGAATCTGAGGTATGCTATGGAGATGAGGAAATCCGTTTAGAACAATGCGTATGTGGACTTTCTTCCTTCTGGTTTCAGTTTTTCTTCCTTCTTCCCTCTTACAATCAGGTCGCAGCACGAGTATCTGCCACTGAGGATGGCAAAGATGAGTGGATTGTTGTAAAGGTCCTGCGCATTGACCGGGAGGCGAACAGGTGAGAGCCATATTCTTGTGAATGGGAAGAATGAGATGTCTGCTTGGGTATCATCTACTTCCGGGGTTCCTTTTCATTGTTACGTGTAGCTTATTGCTTCCTTACCTTCTATTGCAGATTCGACGTGATCGATGAGGAGCCAGGAGAAGAGGATGAGGGTGGGCAGAGGTGAGCACAGAAAAAAAAGCCCTGACATGTAAAGCTTCCTCACAATTGATGCACTTTGTAACCAGCAATGAAGCTAGCGATATTTTTCCACCGCAGCCAGCATAAATACATACAACCTGGCAACTCTCCTCTGCGCACATGTTTCATTGTTTCCCAAAACCTCAGGAAGTACCGTCTCTCAGGCTCCTGCATCATCCCCTTCCACAAGCGCAATGAGTGGATGTCAGCCTCCGATTTCCCTCCTGGATCCAGGGTGCTGGCGGTGTTCCCCAGCACCACTGCACTTTATCAAGCAACAGTGGTTGGGCAACCACGCAAGGTAGGTGCCACCTCGAGCCAGGTTGCACCATTTCTGTTAAAGCGGCAGTATACATTTGACAGCGGGGTTCAGGGTTTTACAGTGTGCCCCACAATTTCGCCCCCACCATGTACCATTTATAAACTTTTGGCACTCTCCCTGCCAAATGTATACTGCTGCTTTAATTTCACTCGTCTATCAAAATCGACAGTTGTTGACATTTTTGTGCTACATCGTTCTGATCACCACTCGCCTCGGTTCCTTCCATTGCATTTATTCCTGCCTTGTGGATGCTAGCATACCCGGATTTTAACCTGCTTCCACCAGGGTCTTTCTCGTTAACCAACCTCTCTCTTCTGCCTTCCTCACCAACCTATGCCCTGTCCCGGCCTGATTTGGCATGCTTCCTTGCCGTGTGTTGGGATGGCAACATGAACAGCGGAAAAGCGACGAGTAAGCGACAACATTTACCCTCCCTTTCACGTTGCAAACTCGTCACACTGACCTTTCTCTAGCACCCCTCTTCAGTCACGTTTGTACACAACCCCTGGCCTAACCAGTCTAGAGACATTTCTAATCTTTATTATTTTCTTCTTGCTTTGCCCTTTGGTTTATGCCTGCAGCTATTCATTGGAGTTTGACGATGATGAAGAGGAGGGCGTAGAAGGTGTTCCTCGTAGAACTGTCCCATTCAATCATGTCGTGGCGCTCCCCCCTCCTAACCCTAGGTCATACAGTAACAGGCAATAACCAGCAACCTGTTTCTGTATTCAACATAAGCCAGCACTTCTGGTTTATTTCTTGGATTACAATTACTTATATATTTGCCAATACGCACTACTACGGTAGCTCCAATAGAGCCTGCTACCGGGGATAAGGAATTGTTGTTACTTGAGCATGCTGCTAATCGAAGTAATCTCCCCGATTTTTTCCAACTCTGTACAACAAGCTATGCAGAGCCAGGCTAACTTTCCTACCATACTCTCCTTTCAGCTGCCTTCGCACGTGTAATGGCAACACTGCTTGTCAGAAGAGTAGTGTATTGTGGACCATCTCCAGCCACGCATCTGTGACCCCAGCCTCACACCAGTGCAAGCAGTCATTCTTCTTGTTTGAGCTACCTGTGAGGGTGAACGGGCAGCACAAAAAGAGTGGGTTATGAAACACCCAAAACAACAAGCATCGCAACATCTTCACGGGTTCCTTTCCCTTGCAAGCCCCACATCCTCAGTTCCCATTGGTCTGCCTGTCAAACACCAGCCCACAACCATGTCCCAATCTGCAGAGCCAGTGCAAGTTCAGAAATACATATGGGGCAGACGAGATAACTCACTTGTCACTATCCAGTTCTGCAGGTGCCCATCAGGCCGCCAGTCACTCATTGGCCCCACGTCCACGTAGCGAATCACCGAGTCCTTCAGCACGCGCCTCTGAACCTCTCTGAACACATTGGTCTTCACATCGCTTCTGCGGAAGACAACTGTCTGAAGGGGGGAAGGGAATGCAGCGAAAAGGAGAGGTATAAGCAAGAAGGGATTATGAGTGGGGATTTCAGGTTGTTGCACAAGAGGAAGGGGGTTACCACATGGGGACTCGTGGTCACTGCAAAGAGAAATGGGCCCACTAGAATGTCACACTACAAGTCATCGATGGGGGACGGATAGAGAAGTCTAGATGCTAGGAATCGACAGGGGACAATTCTGGAATAATTCGCACTTTCCACATCTTGAAACCCAGGTTGTGTCCAGGAATTGAAACAGGAAATGTGATCCTCTTCTCCTCTGGCAGGCACGACCCACCTGATGCCAGGTCATCCTCTATCCACTCACCACATGCCACGTCATCCCCCCATCCACTCACCTCATGCTGAGTCACCCCCCCCAACCGCTCACCTGCGGCAACGTCATCATCTCCTGCACGTCACAAAACCCCGGTTTGACCCCAGGCACGGGTATATTGTAGTGGGAGGGTGACGCCCCCAGCAGAACCGCCTTCCCTTTAAACCCCTTCAAACCACGAGCGGCTGCTAAGGCCGAATGGGTGACATAGTTCCTTAGAGTGGTGAGACCGATGGCATATGCAGCGCTGCGAGTCAGGTTCACTCGGCGGTTCTTGAGGTAATACTCGTTGGAGGGGGAGTACCACCAGTTGGTCGCCTGCAAAAAGGCAATGGCGGTTTGGGTTTAGGGTCAGATCCACAAATGAGACGATTTTGTAGGCAGCTCAGAAGTTGACTTAGAGGTTGCCAAGGTAGTACTGGTTGGAGGAGTAGCACCAGTTGGTCGCCTGGAACAATGAAGTGGTGGCTTGAGACAGACAGACTTCAAATTCTGAGATTAATTTTCTTTCACCTCAGAAGTTGACTCTGTGGTTGCTGAGGAAGTATTGGTTGGAATGGAGGTGTAGCACCAGTCAGTCACCTAAAATTATGCAACGATGGCTAAAAAAATCATAAAGCCATGCATTGCGATACATACAAAACAGAAGGATGGATGGACGGAAGGAAAGGCATACAGACGGACATGACACCCTGAACCTCATTTCCTGCTACCGTTAGAATGGAAGAGGGAAACCCTGCCCTGCCCTGAAGAGCACGTGGTGAATTAACCGGTCATGCCAAGCAGCTGCAGGGGAGATGACCAGATCCTCAAGTAGTAAAAACTCCTCTACGCACTACTCATCCCATAATAGTCACTTAAAACTGGCTCCAATTTGCTGCAGCTTGCCTGGAAGATGACGATATCGGCCAGTGGCAGGAGGTCCACGACGCGCGGATCCAATTGGTCCAGATCAATGCGCTGCGACTGCTGATTGGCCATCGTCTCAATCCGCTCCACCATATCAGCACTCCTTGCAATCCCTTCAGCCGTTCCATTCCTATCTGCGCTCCTCCCCCCAACTGACTCCAAGCTCTCGGGTTGTTGCCACATCGCCTTGATGTCTTGAGTGTTGGGCTGCCCCGCGAGGGAGGTGGCGTTGTTGAGGTGCGTTGAAAACACTGACACGAACCGGACGTTATAACGAGGGATCTAATAACGGGGATGGAGGGCAGGGTGGGGGAGGGATAGGGTTTCAGGGAGGAATGGGGCTCGTGTGGAGTGTGGTTGGGAGGGAGATGAAGAGGTAGGTAGGGTCAAGAGAGCTGCACCGCCAAAAAGGTGTGAAGTGAACCCTTGTCAAACAGAAAAGTGGCAATTCAAGAACAACAGCAAGAGTGGGCACACTCAAACCCCCAGGTTTGTTTACACACCCACAGACACACCCACAGACACACCCACAGACACACCCACAGACACACCCACAGACACACCCACTCACCAAGGTGCCAGACAGCTCGTTTTCACTGTCTGGCACACCCGCACACCCACAGCCACCTGCCTGACTCACTTACCCAGCTGCCTTGCCAGCTCTTTCGCAACACAGGCTGGTTCACTCAATCACCGACGCTGCTCACTCTCTCACCGGTGAATCTCAATCACACACACTCAATTACCCGCCTATGACTCCCACACTCACCCACGGAGCGACACACTCTCTCTCTCTCCCACCAATGCCTCTGACGCACACTCACTCTCCCACCCACCATCGCCTCACACACTCACCAACTCACTCACCCATGTCCTTGCAAGCTCCGTCTTTCCACTAGCAAGGCGAAAAGTCTCGATGGAGTGGGGCGTGGCAGCATGCAGCGTGCACTTTTCACCCTCACTCACTCACCAGTGCCTCTCACACACTCTCACTCACAAACCAATGCCTCATACACTCACCCACGTCCCTGCGAGCTCTGTCTTTCCACTAGCAAGGCGGAACGTTTTGATGGAGCGGGGAGTGGCAGCGTGCAGCGTGCACTTTATGGAGTCTGCGAGGTTCTTGGAGACCGAATCCCCCAGCACCACCACCAGCTTGTTCTTAAACTGCTGCACGAGACGAGCCGGGGTGAGCCGTTGTATTGCGCACCCAATGGGCTGCAAAGGAGTGGAGAGGGGTGCAGATGGGTTAGTTCCTTCGCATAATTGGAAAGGATTTTTGAGACCGAGTCCCGCAGCACCACCACCAGCTTGTTTCTGAGCTGCTGCATGAGACGAGCCGGGGTTACCTGTTGCACCGCGCACCCAAAGGGCTGTCCGAGCGTGCAGATGGGTACAGATGGTTGATCCCCTATACGGAGTTTGGTCAGGTTCTCGGGGACATAATTGCTGCACCACCACTAGCTTGGTCCTGAGCGAGGCGAGGCGAGGCGGGGTAAACTGTTGTCCTGTTCACCCGAAAGGGCTGGTGTGGATTGACTTGCGGAAGAATTGGGAGGCGGGGCCGAGAAAGAGTGAAGGTGGGGTGAGGCAAAAGGGGGATTAACGAGGGGGGGGGGGGGAGAGAGCAGTAAGGTTGACACAGAATCCCCCAGCAGCAGCATTGGCACCCTGAGATGAGAAGGGGTGGGGTGAGGCGCTGCTGCAGCGGGGCGGGGGGAAGTGGGGTGCTCCTCAAATGTGTGGCGGTGCTGAGTGTGGGGCTCTGTCGGTGTTCGTCTCACCAGACAAGAAGGGTTCAGGTGATGTAGTGCTGCCGCTTCTGGCAGTCTTGCCGCCAGTCTTGTTGTTGCTGGCGCTGCTGCTGGCGCTGCCGCTGCTGCGGCAGCGACTCACCCGCCACTGCAGCTTCTGGCCCTCCAAGACAAGCCCGCACGCCTCTGCTGTCGCTGCGATGAGCCACGTGGACCAGTCTCGGCTGGCAGTCCAGTCACCCAGATGCACCCGCCATTGCGGCTTCTAGCAATACACAGTCCGCCCGCCCTGGCTGCAGCTGCTGTTACGAGTTAAGCCCCTCATCACCACTGCAGATTCTGATACCAAAGTCCGTCCGCCCCTGCTCTAGTTGCTGTTCTGTTTTACTGCTTCTGATTATCCAAGACCCAACTCACCAGCCACTGCAGCTTCTGATATCAAAGCCGAAGTTCGTCCTCCCCTGCCGCTGTTTTCAGCCAGTCCCTGCTCAACCTGCCCATTCACTCACCCTATCTCACCCGCCATACCATCGTCTTATACACAAGGCCCAACTCACCAGCCACTGCAGCTTCTGGTAGTCGAAGTTCTTCCGCCGCTTCTGTCCCTGCTGTTACCAATTCACCATCCAGCTTATGAGAATAACCCAAGACGTGACTTACCCACCACTGCAGCTTCTGGTAATCGAAGTTCGTCCGCCCCTGCCGCCGGCAGTTGTGCGACGACCGGATGAACGGACACGATGCGCCGTTGTACCTCGGAAGCCTCCTGGAAGGCACCCACATTCCGCGGGAAATGCTGCAATTCCATGCGCGCTGGGGAGGCTTGACGGGCGCTGCTGGGGAATGGGGAAGGGGAGCGGGAAGGTGGGGGGGGGAGAGGGGAGGGAAAGGGATTCGGAATGGGGAAAGAGCAGGAGAGTGATGGGGGTGGAGAGGGGGGGACCGGGAGAGGGGGTAAAGGTTTTGAGACGCCTCATTTTAGGCGCGTTTGGAAGGCTTGAAGGGTGCTGTCGGGTGTGGGGAAGAAAAAGGAAGAGGATCGACAATGATTTGCTTTGTTTTCCGTTTCGTCCCACGCAAAGTTTTGAAATAATTGCTTCCAGAAGTTTCCGAAAGCGAGGCTACTCACTGGAGCCTGTCTGATATTTTGCGCGACTACCGCCGTCGACTGCGCCGCGAGACCCGCTCAGCATGTCGGCAGTCATCAGGCACGATACTAGAAGACGTGTCGTCCATATATTAACGCTCTCCCGCCGCTGCATCTTCATCCATGACCGTTGATTGTGCTCTTGCCGCTGCTGCGTCGTCGATTCTATCGCGCGCGTGCCCAGGAGTCGCATGGTCGTGTAATAGAACGCGCGAATATGCAGTATCAGTATCCGGATGTGTCCTTTTCAATCCTTCCAGAGTAGAATCCAGGCGTACGCAGTATCCGAAGTCCGTGAAATCTAGCTTGGCGATTCAATCGAATGCAAGTCGAGCTATTGCTGCAAAGCGAGTCGGTTCTTCGCGGGGACGAGAGATGCCGGACGTGAAACTGCTGCGGCGTGCGGCGAGAGCGGCGAATGCATCTTGTGACGCCTACTGCGACGACGGATGACGACGACAGAAGAGTGACGACATGCCTACTGTTAAATCTGGCGGAGCCAGGGAGGAGATAAACGAGCCAAAATGGGTTACGGAGACAAACAGGGGTTCTGGAGCGAATCGAGTTATCAGGAGCAACCATGGATTCTTTGAGACGAGAGTCTGCTTCACCGCCGACTAAAATGTTGCAGGGGCATCTGATCTGGAAGTCCAGAAGAAGAACCAGGAAAACTTCAGGACGTGTTTATTTCCAGATAATCCATGCGAGTCATGGGAGGGCGATTTCTGTTGTGTGTAACGAACTATTTGAATGCTGGAATCCTGCTTCATCGCTTTTGGTAGCCACACTCGCGAACCAGCTTCGGGTTGAGAGAGTCTTCAAAGCCGATGTGCGGAACGCGTTATGAGGATCACTTCCCTTGTTCAAGGGCGGCGGAAGTGGCGAGGCGCGATGTCGGCTAATTTGGGGTCTTGGTGGGGCTTGTGTGGTATGATTTACTGTACACAATTCCGACTCGAGAAGTGCCTGTAAAGTGGATTCGGTAGAGCTAGCTGCAGTATTGCGCAATTCCAGCAATTCCATGCGCATATGGATTGTCCGCTTACGAAGGAACAGCTTCACACGACTCACTAAAGATCTACGGTAATGAAGCAGTAAGCTGCAAGCAACTCGTGACTGCAACCTCAGTAAACTTGTTCACGTATTGTCCATAATATTCCCTCAGAAATGCAGGAAAACAAACACAACACTAACCAGTGGTTTGTACATACAGCTGGCTTGACCTAAAAGGCAACTCAAGAAATCATTAAAAGCCCTTCCCTCCCTTGGCAAATCTAAGGCATGCAATGCTATCCAGACTCTAGCAATGAATCACTGAGGTGGCATTCCTTGCTGCTGCCACATCTGTTGAGGCATTTGCTGCATGTAACCCATCCCTGCCATGGCATTTGCAGCCCGCTGCTGCTGCTGCTGGGCAGCCTGAGCCTGCTGTTGTTGCTGCTGCTGCTGCTGCTGCTGCTGCTGTTGCTGTTGCTGCTGTTGTTGCTGCTGTTGCTGCTGCTGTTGCTGCTGCTGTTGTTGCTGCTGCTGGCCGTACATGGAAGGATCCATTCCCATAGCATGCCTGTTGACCATCATCTGATGCTGTGCCATAATGGCTGCAGTAGGCTGCTGCATGGTGGCGGCAGTTGGTGCAGCAGTCTGCGGCATGTAATACATGCCACCAAACGGCAGATCTGCTGCGCCAGGCATACCTACAGGTGGGCGCGGGACGGCGCCCAAAGCGCTGGCTGCTGCACCAGGCCCGACCCCAACGGCTCCCACTACGCCTCCCTCTTCACGCAACTCATCACGGGGGACAATATCTACCAGGAAGTCGAAAATGTCCGTCCGCGTTATAGCGCCAGCAATATCATTCTTCTGCAGGGTGCGACGCTTGTTCTCTTCGGTGTGAATCCAGGAACGCAGGGTTAGCTCCAAAATAAACATTTCGCAAGCCTTCGCGAAGACCACAGGTGCTTCTGCACTTATCATGCGAACGTCCTCGTCAGCCTTCATGATCTTCTTAATACGCGCGAGCGGAAGCTGATGGTTCTTGAAATCATTCGCGTGCTCCACGTCACGCATCTGCTGCTGCCAGAAGCTCTGCAGCTGCTGCTGGTGTTGCTGCTGAAGGTGCTGATACTGCAACTGCTGCTGCAGTGCCTGAGGCTGGTACCCAGGTGCGCCGGCGGGGAGCGACCCCACTTGAGCAGCAGGCACGGATCCAGCAGCACCAGCTGCTGCAGATGGGTTCGTCTGGTACTGTGCCATCATGTGAGGAGCCATTGTCGGTTGACCCATCGCGGCAGCATAGGCCATCTGGCCAGGCTGACCGGGAATATTTATCATACCAGGCTGCTGCGCCATGATGCGAGACCTTTACTGACCGACCACCGCAACGTAGTGGAACAACCTCGTTGACTTGAATGGCTGCTTGGTTAGCGAATGACCTGCCAAAATAAACCAGGACACGGATCGTATAGTTAAGCAACAATGGAACCGAAGGATGTCCAGGATATTTACTGATGGAATGTCGCTGAACCGCGACGCCTAAGGTCGTATCCCTGGCTGGTGTCAAGAAGTTGGTGTCAAGAAGTTAGCGCACGCGATTGGTCCAAAGAAGACGCTCGGCCATTGCGATTGGTCAAGCGTCTTCTTTGGACCAATCGCGTGCGCAAAATCCTTGACACCAACTTCTTGACACCAGCCAGGGATACGACCTAACAGAGAACAATAGTAATATGATATCGACCATGCACGGGCCAGGTGTGAAAAGTGGTCACGCAGACTAGGCACAACTGCAGGACCAAACGAATATTGCGGCGACGTGAGGTATGGTGCATCGATAAACCAGAAGTACAGGAGAACTGGAGTAACGGCTGCCAGACTAAATATATAGTTTGCCAAATCTAGGATCATAACTGGTGCTAAAAGCGTAGTGAAATCATGGGGGAACCGAAACGAGTGGTAGTGCGTACCTCTGGGGAGAGCAACGAATCAGATTGAACTGGGAAACTCTGAACTGAGAGGCGAGCGGAGGGCGTTCAAGTTTTGCAGGACGGTGAGATGCAAGCTAGGGAGGTAAATGGACGAGTGAGATGCGGCGACTGGCAAACGATCAATGGCGTTTTGAGCCTAGAAGCAGGGAGCTGTTGAGCGTGAAGCAATGGATGAGGAGGAACGGGTTGGACGGACGGACAGATGAAGGGGAGAACCCAAGCGAGCAGGTTTGGAAACCCCAGGTGCTCTTTTCTGGAACACTTGGGCTGGACGAAGCAACCAGATCTCACAGTCGAGCCTCACGACGTAACCGACGAGCCGTTGGATTGGAACGAACGAGGAGCACAGTGAATCGATTAGATCCACGAAACTCTTTGAAACCCTAGCTCACACACTTCAGCGTTGGAACTTCTAAAACGGGTAAAATACATTGAGCCATTAAACGAAAAACAGGATAGTTGAAGAGCTGTATGTAATTTCAAACATTTATACTGACATAATACTTCACCAAATATATGTCCTATTTGGGGAACGTTTTTTGCGCATGTTTGGGGTTAGCTGAACCCCCACTGACTATTTGTTTTCCCGCAACCCACTTAGTACTGTGTACATTTGCTTAGAGGTTTTACAGTAAATTAATCAGATAATGAATGAAACATGGTTACGGTACATGACTGATGCTGGGAAAGAATAATAGGAAAATATAAAATCTTGAAATATGCCCTGCTGTGAACACATGCTTTCTGACATATTTTGTAGGAAGGTGTACAGCTACTTATTACGTTTACAGGGGCAGCCTGCAAGGCGAGCAAGGTCTGGCTGTCACACAGGATATTTTGGCACAGAGATCTTTGGCCTCAACTCAACTCAACCAGTAGCTCATTAGTGGACCCATTAATCGCAGTATCCAGACCGCCAGTTCCGCTACCGTCTGCCTTTCGCCTGTGTCAACACGGCATCTGTATCCCTACCGTTTAGCCGCTGCGCGTTCCGTCGTCGCTCCTCCCTTCTCATCGAGTTGGTTATCTGTCGTCATTGCAATCGACTTTGCAGTCTTGGCGATTAGCCCTTTAGAGATTCGGTCCAGTCATTTTCGATCCTACGGCTGGCGTCATCATGACGTCATCACCTCCCCGTCATCCAGAATCCTCGTTAGATTCACCTTCGCCTGACGTCACCCGGTTGGGTCTCACACGAAGCAGCAGCGGCGGGATGAGCGTCAGAGGCGGGGGAGCCGGACAGGTGTCGTCGTTTCGTTCGCTAAAGCCCCTGGATTTGAGGAGCGAGGATTCGCGGAAAGCGGCGATCCCGCTGGGGCCGGAGGGCGCCGTGCTGCACGGGCGGCTCGACAACGGCGTGACGTACTACGTGCGCCGCAACGCCAAGCCGCAGCACCGCGCAGCACTGGCGCTGGCGATCCGCGTGGGGTGAGGATGGGAGGAGCATGGGGGATCAGGGGGGAAGGAGGTTGAGGGGGGAGAGCGGGTGAGGAGGGAGAGTGGGTGGGAAGGAACAGCAGACTTGAGCAATTCCCAAACGCGGTTTTGCCCCTTTCTTTCTCCCCATCTCTCTCCCGCCTCCCGCTATCCACCATCCGCCATCCCGCCTTCCGTCATCCGTCATCCGCCATCCGTCAATCCGTCATCCCCCATCCGCAATCCCCAATTGGCCTTCCCCCATTCGCCTTCCCCCATTCGCCTTCTCTCATCCGCCTTCCCCCATTCGCCATTCCGCAATCCGCCGTCTCGCATCCGCCATCACCCATCCGCCATATCCCATTCCCCTTTCCCCATTCGCCTTCCCCCATCCGCCTTCCCCGATTCGCCATCCCGCAATCCGCCATCCCCCATCCGCCTTCCCCGCTCCGCGTTCCCCCCTCCGCTATCCCCCACCCCCCTTCCCCCATCTGCCTTCCCCATTCCGCCAGGTCCCTAGCGGAGGAGGAGGTGGAGCGGGGAGTGGCGCACGTGCTGGAGCACCTGGCCTTCCCCGCCACGCGCCTCCACAGCAACCAACACGTCGTGCTTGCAAAGAACACACTCGAATTCTCTCCTAAACCCTCCCATTTTTCTCCCACCTCGCTCCCGCTTCCCTCGCCATCCGCCATCCGCCATCCGCCATCCGCCTTCCCCCGCCCGCCATCCATCTTCCCCCATCCGCCATTCGCGGCCCTGCAGATCTCTAGCTGAGGAGGAGGCAGAACGAGGAGTGGCACACATTCTGGAGCACCTAGCCTTCAGCGCGACGAGGCGCTACAGCAACCACGACATCGTGCGCTTCCTCGAGAGCATCGGCGCGGAGTTCGGCGCGTGTCAGAACGCGTACACGTCAGCAGACGAGACGGTGTTTGAGCTGCAGCTGCCCGTGGATAAGCCCGAGCTGCTGCCGCACGCCATCTCCATTCTTGCTGACTTTGCCAGCGAGGTGAGCAGGGGGAGTGGGTTTGTGCAATGGGATGGGATGCGAGTTGGGGTCTCTCTCTCGAGCTGCAGTGCCGTGCAGCTGCAGGTGGATAGGCCTGAGCTGCTGCCGCACGCCGTGCCCATGCTTGCTGATTTCGACAGTGAGGTGAGGTGAGGCCGATTCCGAGATATGCGAATTAGACATCTTCAAAGTCCAGGTCCAGTGCCCAAGGCTGTGCTCGCCGTTGATAAACCCGAGGTGATGCCTCCATCCATCCATCCCTGAGTCATTGTTCTGGGAAATAATGTGTGCCCTTTCTGTGTGCCCCTCCCCCATGTGCGTGGGGTGCAGATCCGGGTGTCAGAGGAGGACGTGGAGAAGGAGAGGGGAGCGGTGCTGGAGGAGTGGCGGGAGAGGAGGAACGCCATGGGGCGCATGCAGGACGCGCACTGGCAGCTGCTCATGCAAGGCAGCAAGGTGAGGAGAGGGCCATCTGGGGCGTAAGGTTCTGGGTTCTGGCTTGAGGGGTTCTGGCTTGAGGGGTTCTGGCTTGAGGTTACTGGGCCAGGGCAGGAGTTAGGGTTCATGGGTAGGGGTGGGAGAGGAGGAACGCCATGGGGCGCATCCATGCAGGACGCACACTGGCAGCTGCTCATGCAAGGCAGCACGGTGAGGGCAGGGCCGGCCAGGGGGTAGGGTTTAAGGTTATTGTTTTGGGCTAAATTTCTGTGCGTATCAGAGGGAGAGGAAGAACGGCCTGGGGCGCATGCAGGGCGCATGCTGGCAGCTGGTCATGCATGGCGGCAAGGTGATGGCTATTGAGGAGGCAGGGGTTCGGGGTTTGGGTTTGAGGATTACTGACTCAGGGTTACGGGGTTAAGGTTTCTGGTTAGGAAGGGAGGCAAGGGACGCCATGGGGCGCATACAGCCCATGTACTGACCATGCACTGGCAGCTGCTCATGCACTGGCAGCCGCTCATGCACTGGCAGCTGCTCATGCACTGGCAGCCGCTCATGCACTGGCAGCCGCTCATGCACTGGCAGCCGCTCATGCACTGGCAGCAAGGTGAGGTCTGTGGGACTGGAGGTTTTTGGTTTGCGGTTTAGTGTGAGAGGGGCTTTCCGTTGACACCATCCGTGTACTCTCTTCCATCCGTGCACTCTCTTCCATCTCACCCTCCCAACTTCACTCGTCGCTCTCCCACAGGCTACAGCCCAGCCCCCGATACAATCTGAACCCAACCACTCAAAAATCTTCACCTGAACCACCTTCCTTAATCTACCTCCTTCTAATGCACCTCCCCTGAATGCGCCTCCCCTGGCTGCGCCTCCCCTGGGCGCACCCCCCACAGTACGCGGAGCGGCTGCCTATCGGGCTGGAATCAGTGATTCGCGGCGTGCCAGCAGCGGCGGTGAAGCGCTTCTATCACACGTGGTACCACCCCGCTAACATGGCCGTGGTCGCTGTGGGGGACTTTCCCGATGCTCAGGTTAGTCCATGGGGCATGTGGGGCATGTGGGGCATGTGGGGCATGCGGGGCATGCGGGGCACGGGCCTAGCATTCACTCGTCAGTCTGCTTTGCCTCTACCTCATGTGGTACCACCCCGCAAGCATGGCTGTCATGCCATGGCCGTGGTAGCCGGGAGGACTTTCCCGATGCTCAGGTGTGCTGGCCCACCTCTGCTGTCGTCCTCTCCTCCTCCATCTTCTGCCTTACTTTCTCCCCCCTCTATTTTCCTGCTGCTGCCATCCCTCCCTCACCTCCACACCCGTCCCTCCCACCTCCTCTCTTGCATGACCGTACTCCCGTCCATTCGCCTCCCCTCTCCCCTCATTTCCCCCCCATCTTCCCCTCCCCTCATTTCCTCCCCCCTCTTCCCCTCCCTTTCGTTCCCCTTCGCTCCCCTTTCACTCCCCTTTTTCTCCCCCTCCCCTGTCACCAGGCAGTGGTGGCGCTGATAGCAGAGTACTTTGCTGCCAAGCTGCCGCTCTGCCCCTCGGCGTGCTCTGCAGTGCCAGAGGAGCCCTTCCACCCGCACTCACAGCCACGCTTCTCCGTCTTCGTTGAAAGGGAGGCCGGCGGGGTAAGTCTGGGAGGTTGGAAAGGTGAACTGGGATGGGATGGGAGGTGCTAGGGTGTGTGCAGGATGGTGTGGGCGGAGTTCGCGACTGGTGTGGGCGGAGTTCGCGACTGGTGTGGGCAGAGTTCGCGACTGGTGGGGGCGGAGTTCGCGACTGGTGGGGGCGGAGTTCGCGACTGGTGGGGGCGGAGTTCGCGACTGGTGGGGGCGGAGTTCGCGACTGGTGGGGGCGGAGTTCGCGACTGGTGTGGGCGGAGTTCGCGACTGGTGGGGGCGGAGTTCGCGACTGGTGGGGGCGGAGTTCGCGACTGGTGGGGGCGGAGTTCGCGACTGGTGGGGGCGGAGTTCGCGACTGGTGTGGGCGGAGTTCGCGACTGGTGGGGGCGGAGTTCGCGACTGGTGGGGGCGGAGTTCGCGACTGGTGGGGGCGGAGTTCGCGACTGGTGGGGGCGGAGTTCGCGACTGGTGGGGGCGGAGTTCGCGTCGCGACTGGTGGGGGCGGAGTTCGCGACTGGTGTGGTCTGTGGGTGGTACCGATGGGTGGGTGCCCGAGTGAGGAGCCCTTCCACCCGCACTCCCTCCCGCGCTTCTCTGTGTTCGTTGAACAAGAGGCTGGGGGGGGTGAGTCTGGGAGGGAGTAGTGTGGCAGCTATCCCCATCTCTCCCCCCAGTCGGCACTGATGCTCTCACACAAGGTGCCGCCAGTGCAACCCATGGTGACCCCATTGGTGCATACTCCAGGCTGTACCCCCACCCCATATCAAGTGCCCCTGGGCCGGAACTACTCTCAAGTCTTGCATACCCCCTCTTTCGTCTCCGCCATCACCACGACTCCCTCCTTTCCATCACTTCCCCTGTTCTGTCCTCTCCCTCCCTCCCCCCCCTCCCAGTCAGCAGTGATGGTGACGTGCAAGCCGCCCGTGCACGCCATGGTGACGCCCATGGACTACAGGCTGTACCTGGTGGAGGAGGTATTTCCACTGCTCACCACCTAACCCCACTCCTCCTCTACTCCTCCATCACCCTCTCCGCTCCAATCCGTCCTCACCCCCCACCCACCTCCCAGTCAGCAGTGATGGTGACGTGCAAGGCGCCTGTGCACGCAATGGTGACGCCCATGGACTACAGGCAGTATCTGGTGGAGGAGCTGTTCCAGGCCGCCCTCTCGCACCGCCTCTTCCTGCTCTCCCGCCGCCCCAACCCGCCCTTTTACGCCGCTGCTGCCACGGTGGAGGCGCTGGTGAAGTCCTCGCGCTCCTTCTCGCTCAGCGCCAGCTGCCAGGACAAGGGCACGCTCAAGGCGCTGGAGGCGCTGTGGATGGAGGTGCGTGGGGGGGTGGTTGCTCGCTTGTTGGTTGGGAGATCCTTCCTCGTTGCTGGTCACTGCCAGGGCCCCTGGTCCAGGATTTAAGCTCCCGCTCATTCTGAGCCCAGCTGGAGGTGACAAGGCGTCGTCAGGAGGTGACGCAGCCCCAGAGTCCCTTCCTTGTTCTCACCCTCTGAAGACGCCTCGTCTGCTCCCTCTCTGTTCGCTCTTTTCCCTCCTCCGCTTCTCCCAAGGCTGCGCGAGTGCAAGTGCACGGCATCTCCGATCGCGAGTTGGCGATGGCGCGGGTGCAGTGCCTGGCGGACGTGGACTCGGCATACGTGGAGAGCAAAGGGAGCAGACTTTCCCTATCCCTCCATCTCCCCCACTCCCTTCCTCCCTTCCTCCCATCCCCCACCCCCAGGTCGCGCGGGTGCAAGTGCATGGCATATCAGACCGAGAGCTAGCGATGGCGCGCGTGCAGTGTCTGGCGGACGTGGAGTCGGCCTACGTGGAGAGGGAGCAGACGTACAGCGAGGCTCTCCGGGAGGAGTACCTGGCGCACTTCCTCAAGGACGAGCCCTCGCCCGGCATTGAGTACGAAGCCAGACTGGCCAAGGCGCTGCTGCCAGGTATGTTGTGGGCGTGTGGGTGGGCTTGAATCAGACGTACAGCGAGGCGCTGAGAGAGGAGTACCTGGTTCACTTCTTGAAAGATGAGCCCTCGCCCGGCATTGAGTACGAGGCACGACTGGCCAAGGCGCTGCTGCCAGGTGCGCTTGGGGTTGCTGCCAGGTATGGTGCGGTTGTGTGGGGGTTAGCCAGGTGTGCTTGCAGTGCTCAGAGAGGAGTACCTGGCGCACTACCTCAAGGACGAGCCCTCCCCCGGCATTGAGTACGAGGCGCGATTGGCCAAGGCGCTGCTGCCAGGTATGGTGCTTGTTGGGCTTTAAGTAGGTACACTGGCAGCAGTCAGAGAGGAGTACCTGCAGCGCTTTCTGAGGGTCGAGCCCTTTCCTGGCATGGAATACGAGGCGCGATTGACCAAGGCACTGCTGCCAGGTGGGTTGGTGATGCTGCCCCGTGCGGTTAGCTGTTCTGCTAACGGGAGCCTGGTGGTTTGGTCAGTGGCGACAAGAGTCATTGTCGGATCATTTCCTAGGTGGCGAAGGTTGATTGGTGAACTAAAAGTCACTTGTGGAGCTGTTCTTCCTGGGTGGTAAATGTGAAGATTGGAAATTGAACCATTAGCTTCATTAGAAAATGAGCAAGCATACATAGGTTTGGGAAGAGAAGGTTGGAAGGGAAAGGAGGGAGGTGGGATTGGGGGAGTGGGCCAACCTATGGCCCATTGGGTTGCATTTGGGGGCTCCACCACAATTGGGTTGGATTGGCACCCCAAAATGCAAGACTACACCCAAAGTTGGGTGTAGTCCCAACCCAACTGTACACCACAATTGGTGTACAGTCACAAGTGTTAGCATGCTAGAACATGGGAATTCTAACAGTAAAGATTAAGGGGAGAGCATAGCAGAGGTGGTAGCCTGCTCTCAGCTTTTCCTCCCCTCCTCCCCTTCGTCTCTCCGTCCCTGCCCTGTCTTCTGCCCCTCGCTTCCCCGTCACCTCCCTCTTCCTTGCCTTATCGTCCCCAGCCATCACAGCGGCGGAGGTGGCAGCGGTGCCGTCGGAAATATCCCCCAGTAACAGCTGTGTGGTCAAGATCGTGGGCCCACGATCCCTTTACCCCTTACGCTCTCAACCCTCTTCCCTTGGTCTCCGCCTCCCGACCCGCAGGCATCACAGCGGCAGAAGTGGCAGCGGTGGCATTGGAGATGTCTCCCAGCAGCAGCTGCGTGGTGAAGATCGTGGAGGCCAAGGCGCACGCCACCGTGGAGGCCATCCAAGGCGTCATCAACCGCGTGATGCGGGCCAAGGAGGCCACTGTGGCTGCCATGCGCGCTGACGAGGCTGCCAAGGCTGCTGTGGAGGCCAACGAGGCTGCTAAGGCTGAAGAGGCGAAGGGGGTTGCTGTGGAGGCGAAGGAGGCTGCTGACGCGGTGAGGGAAGAGGAGGAGTCGGCAGGAGCGGTGGAGAGTGGTGGAGGGGGAGGAGAGAAGAAAGGGGGAGGAGAGAAGAAAGGGGGAGGAGAAGAAGGGAATGCTGAAAAGTCAGGAGAGGGAGGAGGAGAGGGGGATGGTGGTTTAGAGGGTGGGGGTGGGGTGGAAGGGGGAGGAGAGGGGACAGAAGCAACAGCAACAACAGCAGCAGCAGCAGGAACAGCAACAGCTGCAGCAGCAGCAGCAGGGGGCGGTGAAGCAGCAGCAGCAGCAGCAGGGGGGGGTGAAGGTGAAGAAGCGGTGGAGCTGATAGAGCCGTGGACTCTGGACGACATTCCCGAGAGCATCGTGCAGACACCACCAGTACCGGGGTGAGTGGCACGCAGTGGGGGATGAGTGGCAGCCGTGGCGGGTGGGTGGCAGGGTGAATGATAGCCAGTGGCCAGGTGAGCGATAATGAGGTTGCAAGAAAATGGTGAGAGCTGTTGAGCAGCAGCAGGGGAGTGCAAGCTGGTTTTCTACTAACACTTTCCTTCTCCTTCCCTTTCCTTCGCTTCCTTTCCCTTCCCTTCCCTTCCGTTCCTTTTCCTTTTCTTCTCTTCTCTCATTTCACCCCCGTGCAGGGAGGTGGAGGAGCGGAGGGAGTATCCGGGTGTGGGAGTGACGGAGCTGAGGTTATCCAATGGCATGCGCGTGGCGGTCAAATGCACCGACTTCCTTGACGACCAGGTGAGGGGGACCACCACTTACAGTGGTTGACTGGCGTTGACTTGCCAGCAAGGACTGACCTGCGTATGTCCAATGGCATATGCGTGGCAGTTAGAAACACCAACTGTTGACTGTTGACTGTTGACTGTCAACCGTTGCAAAGTGAAGCATCCACCATTCATTGGTGATGAATCGCTGCATGTGGAGAAGGCTCTGTACTGTGTGCAATGCTTCAACCTGGGGTGTGTTCACGAGTTGCGGAATTTGGACCCGGTGTCAGCCTCTGATGACACAAAGTGGGGCGCATGCGACCTCGTGTCATGTGCTGAGGTCGCCGACCGTGCCGTGCCGTGCCGTGCCGTGCCGTACCGTGCCTCGCATGGTGCCATGCCATAGCTTGTGGCTCCAGTGGTCCTTGCTGCTGCTGTTGCTGCTGTGCGCCCTCTGCCTGCTGCTGGCTGCTGCTTGTGTGGGTCTGGGGGAGTGGTGGGTAGAATGGAGGCTGAGAGGCGGATGAGGTGGAGGGAAGAAGTGCTGAGGAGAATGAAGGGCGGGAGGAGCGAAAGGAAGGTTGAGAGGAGGGGAGGAAGCGAGAGGAGAGACGTGAGGCAGAGGAAGGAGACGGTTACAGACTGGCGTGGGTTGGTGAGAGGGCGATGAAGGAGGATATGTAGGGCGTGCGGAAGGAAAAAGGCTATGGGGAGGAGATGGGCCCATGCCCGGTGCTCCGCCTTGAGATGGGGCCGCCTTTGATCCGCAAGCTGAGGCGCCACTATTGCCACTCTAACCGCTCTAGCCGCTTAAGCCATCGTAGACACTCCAGCTGGCTCACCTGCACACCTCCCCTCCCCTCTTGCTGTGTGGGGCTGGTGGGGGCAGAGGCGAGCTGAGCACGAGAAAGAAGAGGACGAGGAAGGGCGAGGGGAGGGGCAACAGGAAATGCAAGCGGAGGGGCAGGGGATGAAGGGAGAGAGAGAAGGCGTGGAGGGAGGGGTGCGAGCAGGGGAGGGCGGGCCGTGTGTGTGCTTGTGCGTGGACTGCTTGCACTGGCGGCGAGGCTGCATGTGCGTGGAGCCATTGGGCCTCCCTTCCCTTGGGTCCGAGCAGGAGCAGCTGCAGCAGCAGCAGAGGGGTGTGCCTCCGTGGCAGGTGCAGCTGGCGCATTTCCTGCAGCAGCTGCGGTGTGTGGGCTGTGAGGCGGGGGGGAGAGGGAGTGGGGGCGGAAGCAGGAGCGGATGGGCTGCATTGGAAGCACAAAGGGAGGGGTCAGGGGCGAGGAGTGAGCGGCGGGAGGGTGGAGGAGGAATGGAGGAAAGAGGACATGAAGGCGTTCTGTGCGGTGATGAGGTGTGCGCTGTGGAGTGCGGTCTGTTGGGCTTAGAGGCAGCACTGCAGCGGGCAGAGGAGGAGAGCAGCAAGCGTGGAGCAAAGAGAGACAGTAAGTCGCTGCTCTGTGCTTCCGCCAATCGGCTTCTCCTGCTGGCGGCCGGGAGTGAGCTGGAAAGGCTGCTGCTGACGTGGCTTGATGGGCCAATGCTGCCTGAAGTTGGTGCCTTGTCAGCACCAGTGTCGGTGATCAGGCTGCTGACTCAGATTGTGCAGGAGCTGACGAGGAAAGGAGGGGGTGGTGCTGCTGGTGCTGCTCCTGCAGTCTCTGCTACTCATGCTGGTGCTGCTGGTATAAGTGTGCAGGGTTGCAGAGGCACAGATGCGTGTGCATGTGAAAGTGCATGTGAAAGTGCATGTGCATGTGTGAGATTGTGGATCAAGTATGCAAGAGGGTTGGGACGCACAGCAGCAGTTGCACCGGAAGCATCTGGAAGGCTTCATTACTCAGCTATAGCTCGTTTTGCCGCCCGTGGAAATTTCGGTGCTGCAATAGCATCATGTGCAGTAATTGCATCTGGTGCAGCAGTTGCCAGTGCACATACCGTTGCATTCTTCCTTGCCTGCCTTTACTCCATCCCTCCGCCAACTGCAACCACCGATGGCCCCGCTGCCACCACCATGCCACCTGCTGCCGACTCTGTCCTTGGCCCTCTCCCCTGGTGCATCACGGAGCAGTTACTGCACTCCGCTACAGTCACACTCAACCCTCCCATGCCTCCCGCCCCTGAGTCTCCTGCCGCCGGTCACCTGCTCCTCTCTCTCCCCATCACCCCCACTGCCCTGTCCCCATTGCTCCGTGGCCTGTCCCGCCACCCTTCCCACCGCGTGCGCCTGCGCCTCTGTGACCTCTGCCTTGCCCTCGCCCGCATGCTGGGGAGGGATAGGTGGGGGGAGGGGAAAGGAAGGACGGGGTTGGGGGAGAGGAAACGACAGAGGGATGGAGGTGCAAGAGGGGAAGGTGGTGGGGATGGGAGCGGGGCCGGGAATGTGCTGTTTGTGCCTCGCCCCTCCACCTCTCTTGCTGCCGCGTATGCCCGCCTCCTCTCGTCTGCCCTGTATGCTGCAGCCAATGACAGCGTGCCATCTGTCCGCGCTGCAGCTCTGGGGGCCTTGGGGGAGGTACCCTGGTTGGTGGTGGCGGGGGGATGGGGAGGAGGAAGGGAGGGAGGAAGGGAAGAGGATGGGGCAAAGAAGGAGGCTCAAGGGCAGTTGAGTGGGGAGGTGATGCGAGGACTGTGTGGAATGGGGGTGGCGGATGGGGGCAGGGCTGGGGTGGATGCCAGCGGTGAGGGCAACGAGGGCAATGAGGGCGGTGGGGGCGGTGTGGTGGTAGCCGCAGTGGCAGGAGTGGTGCAGCGAGCGTGTGAGGGCATGGAGGATGACTGTGAGCACGTGCGCCTGCAGGCCGTGCGGCTGGTGACACAGGTGGTGGCGTGGGTGCGGCGGGAGGGAGTGGCGCTGCTGCTGCTGCGGGAGCGAGAAAGGGAGGGAAGGGAAAGAGAGACGTGGCAAGCCATTTCGGACATGGCATTCCTCTCCCTCTCAGCGCGCGCCACCGACCCCTTCCCCGCCGTCCGATGCGCTGCGCTCCGCACCACAGCTGCCCTCGTCTCTGCCTCGCCGCCTCGCCTCCCTGCTCCTGCTGCCTGCTCTTCCCCCTCGCCGCCTCCCCTCCCAGCGGCCGCACCGCTCCTCCTCCCCGCCCCCTGCGAGGCAGCTCTCCTGCAGGCCTTCTCCAAGAAGCTCAAGCACCCGCCGCCCCCCTCCCTCTGCCCGCTGCCACTGCTCCTCACCCCTTCCCACCAAAGCCACTCGGAACCACAGCTGGGTGGAAGGAGAGCAAAGCGCAAGAAGCAGCAGGAGGGGCAGCAGCAACAGCAGCAGCAGGTGCAGACAGGAGGGCAGGGAGAGAGCAGTGAGTGCAAGTGGTTACAGTGTGTGAGGGAGGCAGCAGCAGGGGCGGTGGTGGTGGGAATGGAGGATGACTATCGAGCGGTGAGAGCCGCTGCTGTCGCTGCTGCCGCTGCCATCGCCACACCCCATACGCCCCATACTGCTGCTCCATGCTCTTCCAACTCGTCAACCCCTTCAATCCTATCCGCCCTACTTCCCTCCTCCTCGCCCTCCCTGCGCGTGGCTCTTGAGGCGTGCTCACATCTGATTGGAGGATGCAGTGATGATGTGGCAGCAATTCGAGCGCTCGCTCTGCAATCGCTCTCCCGGCTGCTGTTGCTATGGGGGGCCCCTCTCTCCCGCTTCCTCTCCTCCTCACCCATCCCTCTCGTTGCTGCAACTGCTGCTCCAAGCACTGGTGGCAGCAATGATGCTGCTGCTACTGCTGGTATCACTAGGCCATTCACCCCGCCACCCCTTCAGGAGCCTCTTCTTGTGCCCTCAGACGCCCCCAAGCTCGCACCTGCCCCAATCACCACCTCTTCCACCATTGCTCCATCCGCCAGGACTTCCTCTCTCCTGAATGTAGTCGCCACTTCTCCCGGGCGACGCCTCTCGGCATTGCTCGCCTCGCTACAGGACAAGTCGCTGGCTGTGCGGGCGGCGGGGCGGTGTCTGCTTGCGGTTCTGCGGCCGGCACACTCAGGGGGAGTGAGAGCCTGTGTGCGTGCACTGCTGGGGAATATGGAGAGGGCAGTGAGGGCAGGGGGGGAGGAAGAGGAGGAAGAGGGGAGTGAGGGAGAGGAGGGAGTGGAAGGAGAGATGGGATGGGTGGATGGGGGCGGTGCTTGGGGTGGTGTTGGTGTGGGTGGTGGGGGCGAATGGGCAGCACAGGGAGGGCTGGGACGAGGACGGAAGAGGGGGAGGGAGAGGGATGGGAGGGGGAGAGTGGTGGGAGGGGAGGGGAGGGAGATACAGGAGGTGCTCGACACACTGGCCGCGATTGGCGCTGCTTGCAGCTGCCACGTGGCAAGCATGGCCTCTGAGCTGGCAGCTGACGTGGCAGCTCTGAAGGCCGGCAGAGGGGCAAGAACAGCCACAGCCAGTGGTTGCGTGCCCACCGCCCACCCGCCTCTCCCCTCAACACTCTACCCCATTCCTGCTCAGGGGAGAGAGATGACGAGAGGAGGAAAGAGAACGAGGGGGAGGGGGAGGAGGAGGGGGGAGGAGCAGCGGGTGGAGCAGGGTTATGTGGCGGGGTTGTGTGCGATGCTGGGGGCAGCAGGCAAGGCGCTGCCGTTTCTGTCAGCACTGCTGCCACCTGGCCTGCTGCAACACGGGCAGCTGTACTCTCAGGCCGTGCTGCTGGGGTAGCTAGCTGGCACTGCGTTGGCCCTGGTGGGAGCATGGACTGCAGTGTTGTGCTTCTTGCAGGGGCGCGCTGTGTGGCTCTCGCACTGCACACCATTGCCTGCCCACGAGGAGCGCCTACCCCATGTACTGGTGCTGCACATCTTGATATCTGGGTACGCGTGGGGGTCTCTTGGAAACGTGCTACTGCGACCACCAAACAACAGCCATGGCATGCCGCAGAGCGAACCATCGGATGCTCTCTCCCCACGTGTGTGTGTCCATGTGCCCCTCCTCCTCCCACTGCAGATCCTGATTTTTGGCTACACACACGCATAAGTCTCTCACTCCGACTGCGCAGCGCATCACATTCTCTAACAACCCTCCAATGGCTCTGCTTCCCCACCACAGATCCCAATATCCCGCTGTGCATTCGGAGTTCTGTCGGAGGTCTCCAAATCCGACTACTACACAGCAGCCATGGTGCAGAGCATCGCGGGGGAGGCGGGCACATTCGGCCACCCGCCAGCTGTCATTGCGGGCCATTGGTGCACACCACCGCTCCCCTCACTCCTCCCTCCCCCCCATCGTTTTCGTCCATCCCCACTGCAGATCCTAATATCTGGATATGCATACGGGGGTCTCTCAGAGGTGTCTGAAGTGGACTATTACACGGCGGCCATGGCGCAGAGCATAGCGGGGGAGGCGGGCATATTCGGCCACCCACCAGCTGTCATGGCGGAGCTGCTGGCCGGCAAGCGCGTGGAGGTGGGCGGCAAGCTGTCGTCCTACATGCGCGTGTTCTCGGGGGAGTGCTCCCCGGACGACCTTGAGACGGCTCTGCAGGTGCCTGGGATGCTGCTGGTGGTGGTGGGGAGTGAGGGGATGTGGGGAGTGAGGGGATGTGGGGAGTGAGGGGATGTGGGGAGTGAGGGGATGTGGGGAGTGAGGGGATGTGGGGAGTGAGGGCATGTGGGGAGTGAGGGAATGCATGTGTGGGAAGTAGTTATGGGACGGCTTTGCAAGTGAGCTTTCCGCCTCACCGTTTGCCTTCTCTTCCGCAGCTCTTCCCTTCATGTTCATTTGGAATGCACCATCAAGGCAGAGTCTAGGGATGTAGCGCGGATCATCGTGCCTTCTGAGTCGACTCAGTGGTCACCTTTTCTCCCCTCTGCCTCCTTTCGCTCCTGCACCACACCCTATGCCTCTGCATCGCACCCATTGTCTTACCGCCTCTCCTCTTACCCCTGGTGCAGCTGGTGTACCAGCTGTTCACGTGCAGCATCAGGGCAGAAGCCAAGGACATAGCGCTGATCAAGCAGATGACCAGGGAGGCCGTGCGCGGGCAGCAGCGCGACCCCTTCGCTGCCTTCGCCAACCGCGTGAGGGAGATCAGCTACGGCCGCAGCTACCAGTTCAAGGTGCTGTGGGGGGGCGTTGGGGATGGGAAGCGGAAGGTGATATTGAGGGGAGAGGGTGAGGGAGATGGGCTACGGGCACAGCTGCCAATTTAAGGTCAGCCGTGCAGCATGGGGGGTGCGGGGTGGGAAGTGATGCGGATTGAGGGGAGAAGTTGGGCCACACTTTCGGGTGGAGAAGTGGGGTGGGGATTCGGGTGGGCTTGGAAGGGGGACAGTGGAAAAGGGTGGGTGGGGCAGCTAGCAGGGGAAGGTGGGCCTCACATTCTCATGCCTCCCTTCCCTCGGCATGCACTCACATTCCCCTTCCCCCCCGTGCCCTCCATCGCCCCTCGCATCTCCCACACCCTCCCCTCTCTTCCCCCCTGCAGCCAATCACGGAGTCGGATCTGAGGCGCGTGGATTACAGCAGGGCGTGTGAGTACTTCGGGCGGGCGTTCAAGGACCCGTCGCCCTTCACTGCTGTCATTGTCGGCAGCACACGCCTAGAGCAGGCGCTGCCCCTCATAAAGCAGTACCTGGTGAGGGCAGGGTTGGCTGAGGCAGGCAGTACCTGGTGAGGTGGCAGTGAAAGGCACACAGGTGCAGGATAGGCAGAAATAAGTGTGTGCGTAGATGTGTGTGGGCAGAAAGAGGTGGGTGCCGCAGCAATTGCAGCACGTTTATCACCACTCACTCACCCACACTCACTCTCCCACACTCACTCGCCCACACTCACTCACCCACACTCACTCACCCACACCCACTCACCCACACTCACTCACCCACACTCACTTGCCCACTCCTGCACGCACTTACTCACCCGCCGACTCACTCGCTCCCATTCACTCACTCACCTCAACCAGCCAAGTTCCCTACTTCTCTTCCTTTTCCGCCATGCCACCCACCCGTCCCACACCCATGCCAACTCCCTCCCCCCTCTCTCACATCCCATCCACCCATCAGGGCGGCATCCCGGTGCCCCCGCCACCAGCCGCCATGCCACGCTACGAGCGCGACTCGCTCACGGCGCTGCCCTTCAAGTTCCCCGACTCCCTCATCCGGTGCGGGTCGTTCTAGGGGTGGGAGCCGTTTTGTGCTGAGTGTATGTCAAGTCTGCCCGCTTTCCACTGTGCCTCGTTATCGTCACTGCTACCCTGCTCGTGTAAATGCACTATCCTGCTCTGTTTCTGAATATCCCACTTATTACTCCCTCCACTCTCTCTGCCCTCTACTCTCTCCGCCCTCTACTCTCTCCGCCCTCTACTCTCTCTGCCCTCTGCCTTCTCCGCCTCTTCTCTCTCCGCGCTCTGCTGTCTCGCTGCTGGTGGGCGAGGGCAGGGAGGAGGTGAGGAGGGTGATGGTGGAGGCGCAGGGCTACACGCAGATCACCTTCCCACTCAACATCCCGGCCAGCCCCAAAGTCGTGAGTTCCCCTACATGTTTGCTTGAGACGTCTCAAAGTGATCACCTCCCCCTCCACATTTATGCTGGATCCAAACTCGTGAGTGTGCGTCCATGCCGTGCCATGCCGTGCAACTGTCCTCTGCACCATGCAACCGTATGTGACAATATGCATGGCACATGGCACATGGTTCCACTCACATCTCATGTCCCTGGTTCGTAAAGGGCTCGTTCTTGTGTGACAGACACGCAATGTGACTGTATCGTGCCTGAGTTGATGTGTTTTGGCGTGTTGTATGACGCTATGACCACTGACTGCATCATTCCACATGGCTGCTCGCATGCCACATGGCTGCTCGCATGCCACATGGCTGCTCGCATGCCACATGGCTGCTCGCATGCCACATGGCTGCTCGCATGCCACATGACTGCTCGCATGCCACATGGCTGCTCGCATGCCACATGACTGCTCGCATGCCACATGACTGCTCGCATGCCACATGACTGCTCGCATGCCACATGACTGCTTGCATGCCACATGGCTGCTCGCATGCCACATGACTGCTCGCATGCCACATGGCTGCTCGCATGCCACATGACTGCTCGCATGCCACATGACTGCTCGCATGCCACATGGCTGCTCGCATGCCACATGGCTGCTCGCATGCCACATGACTGCTCGCATGCCACATGGCTGCTCGCATGCCACATGGCTGCTCGCATGCCACATGGCTGCTCGCATGCCACATGGCTGCTCGCATGCCACATGACTGCTCGCATGCCACATGATTGCATGCATGCCGTGTAACTGTATGGCATGTGGTATGACGTGAATGTCAACTGTTCAGGTGGAGGAAACCATGTGGGTGGGCTTCCTGACGAAGCTGCTGGAGACGCGGGTCATGCAGCTGCTGCGATTCAAACACGGCCAGGTCTCTCACTCACACCCATTCTGCGCTCCTGCCACCTCGCCTCTCACCTCCCACTCGCCTCTCACCTCCCACTCGCCCCTCACCTCCCACTCGCCTCTCACCTCCCACTCGCCTCTCACCTCCCACTCGCCCCTCACCTCCCACTCGCCTCTCACCTCCCACTCGCCTCTCACCTCCCACTCGCCCCTCACCTCCCACTCGCCCCTCACCTCCCACTCGCCCCTCACCTCCCACTCGCCCCTCACCTCCCACTCGCCCCTCACCTCCCACTCGCCCCTCACCTCCCACTCGCCCCTCACCTCCCACTCGCCCCTCTCCTCCCACTCTCCTCTCACCTCCCACTCGCCTCTCACCTCCCACTCGCCCCTCACCTCCCACTCGCCCCTCACCTCCCACTCGCCTCTCACCTCCCACTCGCCCCTCACCTCCCACTCGCCCCTCACCTCCCACTCGCCCCTCACCTCCCACTCGCCTCTCGGTCACTCTGTTGAAGCATTGATCGCTCGGCTCCCTTCCTCCGCCCGTTCCTCCGCCCCCGCCTGCCCTTCTCACCCGCTTCACCCCACCTTCCACACCCCTCACCACTCTAGCTCTCACCCTTTCCCCTGCCACTTCCTTCGCCCCACCTCCACCCCACCTTGCCAACTGTCTCCCCCCTGCCACCTGTCTCCCCTGCCACGTGTCCCTTTATCACCACTCACGTCCCCCGCCTTGTGCAGATCTACACGGTGTCGGCATCGTCCTTCCTGGGGGGGGCGCGTCCGTCCCGCGATGGCGGGGTGAGGGGGGACCTGGCAGTCGCATTCTCCTGCGACCCCACCACCGCCTGGTCGCTCGTACGCTCCCTGCTCTCATCTGCTTTGCTCTTCTCTGCTTTGATCTGCTGTGCTTTGGGTTGAGGATGCCCTGCTTCACTGTGTGTCTGTGTCGATATTCTCCCACACCCTCATCGCCTCTGTGCCACCATCGTCCTTCCTGCTTCCTCTCTGCTTCCAATCTGCTTCCTCTCTTCTCCCGTTTACCACGCCATGCCATGCCAATCATCCAGCAACACTCGCCCACCCACCATACCTCTCCAGCAGCAAGGCCCTCTCTGCCCGCAGGTGGACCCAAGCTCACGTGATACATTGGAGCGGCTGCAGCGGAATTTCTTGTCGACTTGTTTTAGCGTTCTCGAGTCCAATTTTGAGTGGCCCCACCCTTTCAGGTGGGCTGGAGCATGGCGGCAACTGAGCGGCTGCAGAGGGTTTTTAACAGTCGACATGATTTTGAGTATAGTTTTGAGCAATCCCACCCCTCCCTGCATCCTTTCATCTTCCACCCACCCCCTGCAGGTGGACCTGAGCGTGGCGGAAATAGAGCGAGTGCAGAGGGAGGGGCCGGAGGAAGCAGACGTGAAGACGGCACGGGAGCTGGAGCAGCGAGCGCACGAGATGGGGCTGCAGGAGAACTCCTTCTGGCTCGACCGCGTCGTCAGGGCGTACCAGACGCGCCTGTACGACGGCAACGTGGACGAGTCGTTTCAGGTGAGCCTTCAATAACATTGCTGAGGCGACTCAGAAAGGTGCCCTGAGATGGGGCTGCAGGCCAACTCCTTCTGGCTCGACCGCATGGTGCGTTCGTGCCAGTCGGGCCTGTACGATGGCAACGTGGACGAGTCGTTTCAGGTGAGCCTTCGATGATGCTCTTCATTTCGCTTAGAAGTTGCGTTGAGGCGGGTTTGTGGGAGAAGTCCGTGTGGCTCAACCGCGCCGTGCGAGCGTACCAGACTCGCCTGTAAAATGGCAAAAGTGGACGAGTCCTTCCAGGTGAGCTCCCGCTGCTGTCTGTTGTTGTAGAGAGTTCTGGACAACGCACACTGTGCAGTCTCGGGTGTGTGTTGGTGGCATGATGCGCCGTTTCAGGTGGGCTCTCATCTCATGGCCTGGCACACTAGGTAAGGAGCTGCTCTTCTCTGCGAGTTTGTCCAGTGCGGGGTGCATTACACATGCACCAGCTGTGTCATTCTCCTCCTCACCCCACTTCCCCCAACCATCCACCCCCTTTGCCACCGCACCAGGCACTGGAAGACATTCGCCTGCGTCTCATCAGCCAGCTCAGCACTGACTCAGTCCGCACCATGCTGACTCAGCTACTCCCAGTGCCATGCTCCAAGCAGTACACAGCTGTCAGCCTCGTGCCAACTCAGCCCCTGTGGCGCCGCCTGCTGTCGCTGCCGCCCAAGCAGAACCCAGGCCTCACTTCCGAATCCAAAGTGAGCTTCTATTCCACAACCGCACCTTATCTCATCGCTCGTGCTCCCATCTGATGTCTGGCCGCATCCCGTCTCTTTGTGTGCTCTCTGGTGGTGATCACATGCCCTTCCCTTAGTATCCTCCCCATCCTCGTTTTTGTTGTCCCCATTACAGGCACTGCTTGCTGTGCTAGCTGCTGCTGCAGTTGGAGTGGCACTGTGGCGGTGCCGACCAAGGCACTAGGCGCCACTGATGATACGGGAACGTGTGTTGTACGAATGCATTGCAGTTTTGCAAGGCCCATTCAGGCTGTACGGTATCACGGTGTATAACCCCATGTTTCTCTTTCCAACTAGTGCATTGATCGGTAACTTGAAACAAGGGTGAGAAGGGAAGAGGAGAGAAAGGAACGATGGGCTGATCAATGCAGCTTCACAGGCACATCTTCAAGCAGAGGCAGCAGAGTGGCTCGTTTTGTCACAAGGAGCATAGCATAGCACTCCCATGCAGGATAGCAATAATCCGATGCATAGAAGCCGTGCATGGGCAGAGCAGACTGATCATGCTGGGATGGGGCTGTGAATCTTGATCAACCATTTGCCGAGAGACATACCGTACCTACGACTCTGTCTGTAGTACTCAATGGCTCAACCAATCAACAAGAATCGGTACTGAACCAGTGGTAACATGTGACTGCTATCGAGGACAAGACCAGCAGCCCCATGACACAATAAATACAAGATTTCCCCTACAGCCACAGTGATTCAGCCCTGCAACATCATGCATCTTAAAGCAAGTTTGAACTGGCAGGGCGACACCAGACTCAGCCCACGCAAGGCCAACGTCTCAAAAACATCGACCGAATATGTAGCAGCACCAACTCCCTTGCCTTGCCGCCCTTCCTGTACAGCAGTGCCAATCCGTGGCACGCTCTCTTGCGAAGCCTCGCAGAGCTATCGCGCAGGTTAGCGAGCTGTGCGTTACAGCAGCCATCCGTAGGTGTCATTGTGTGCGCGCATGGAGGAGAGGAGAGGGTTCACGGCAGCACCTGCAGCATCATGGCCACCGTGGCCTCCCCTGCTGCTGCTGCTGCTGCTGTCGCTGCACTGCCACCACCATCGCTGCCTGCTCTCGCAGAGTGGAATGGTTGAGAGGGGTGGGAGGGCGGAGAGCAGGGATGCAGGGTGGCAGCAAAGAGAGTGGCGCGCACAGCAGCCAACCCATTGGGCCTCGCGAGAGTGACTGTAAGGGGGCCTTCCCCAACCCCAGTGCGCATAATAGCACCCAGCCATGAATCCAAAGAAGAGATCTCACTCTCCCTCCTCCCTTGCCCTTGCTGCTGCCGCACCGCCATCGGCCTATCCCTGTGCCCCGGATCCACCTCCTGCTCCCCACCCTCAGTCTGCATCACTTCCTCCTGCTCTTGCTCTTCCTCATGGCCTTGCGCTTCCTGCTGTGCTTGATTTGGAACGAGCAGAGAGGCCAGCTTGCGGGAGAGCAGCTGCTGACGTGGCCATCCCAGCGTGTGACACGTGGCGTCGTTACAGCTCACGATGGTGGCAGCAGGCAGAGCGAGTGAGAGGAACGGCGTGGCTGAAAGATCCAGGAAGTTTCTGATGTGGTGACAAACGGGTGAAGGGGCAGGACAGGGAAGGAGGAGAAGGAAGGAAATGAAATAAGAGCGGGGACACTATAAGGGGGAGGCTAGGAGCAACATTACACGACATAAGCATAGTAAGAAGCGTGAATGTGACTTGAAAGATGCATGTGCGCGTGCATGTGCGCGTGCGCGTGCGCGTGCGCGTGCCGGTGCGCGTGCGCGTGCGCGTGCGCGTGCGCGTGCGCGTGCGCGTGCGCGTGCGCGTGCCCGTGCGCGTGCCCGTGCGCGTGCGCGTGCGCGTGCGCGTGCGCGTGCGCGTGCGCGTGCGCGTGCGCGTGCATGTGCGCGTGCATGTGCGCGTGCATGTGCGCGTGCATGTGCGCGTGCATGTGCGCGTGCATGTGCATGTGCATGTGCGCGTGCATGTGCGCGTGCATGTGCGCGTGCATGTGCGCGTGCATGTGCCTGTGCATGTGCCTGTGCATGTGCATGTGCATGTGCATGTGCATGTGCGCGTGCATGTGCGCGTGCATGTGCGCGTGCATGTGCATGTGCATGTGCGCGTGCATGTGCATGTGCATGTGCATGTGCATGTGCATGTGCATGTGCGCGTGCATGTGCGCGTGCATGTGCATGTGCATGTGCATGTGCATGTGCATGTGCATGTGCATGTGCAGGTGCATGTGCATGTGCATGTGCATGTGCATGTGCATGTGCATGTGCATGTGCATGTGTATGTGCATGTGCAGGTGCATGTGCAGGTGCATTTGCGTGTGCGCGTGCGTGTGTGCGTGTGTGCGTGTGCGCGTGTGCATGTGCGTGTGTGTGTGCATGTGCGTGTGCATGTGCGTGTGCATGTGCGTGTGCATGTGTATGTGCATGTGCGTGTGCGTGTGCCAAGTGCATGCGAAGCGTACCTGAGAAACGTGGCCATGTGGGCCACACAGTCCCCGGGAGAGGGGCCCGCAGGTGCAGCAACCACAACAGGCGGGGGTGGCGTGGACGGTGGGGGTGGTGGGGGCGGTGATGGGACCGCAGCAGCAGGCTGAGAGGGCGTGGTGGGAGCAGGAGCGAGGGGGGGAGGTGGGGTGGCACGGGTGGGAGGAGATGGGGATGGACGAGGTGGCTTGGATGGTGAGAAACGGAGGCTGGCAGGGGCACGAGCAGGCAGCACATTGCCTTCCTGGCTCAACCCCGACCCATCCGCCCCTCCGCTTGCACTCCCTACTCGCCCCGTACCCCTCCCATCTCCCTGTCCCGCTCTCCTCCCCTCCCCTCCCCCCTGCTGCACCTCCTCCACGCCCCCCCCATGCGCGCCCTGCTGCCCATGCACGCCGTCCCCCCCATCCTCCGCCACGTCCTCCAGGGGCTCGTCATCAGAGTGGGAGGGGTCGCTGAGGTAGTGGCTCAAAGACACACACGTGGGGAACAACACACGTGCCCGCCTGCCCCTCACCCCCACCACCACCTCCTTCTCCTTCTCCTCTTCCTTCTCCTTCTCTACACTGCCACCGTTTTGCACACCCTCGCACCTATCGCCTCTCTCCCCGGGCCTCTCTCCTGCCCCACTCCCCTTATGGCCAAATCCCCTTCCATTCGCCTCCCCACCCTCCTCCCCACCCTCCTCCCTATGGCCGCCCATCCCCGCCTTCGCTGCTTCCCCCCTTTCCCTCCTCTCCCTCCCCTTCCCCAAGTCACCAGCCCCATCTATCACCTTCTCCTGCCCCTCACCGCTCCCCATCTCCCCCTTCGCCTGCTCCCCCGCGATCCCCCCTTCCCCCTTCACCTGTTCCCCGCCACTCCCCCCTCCCCCCGTCTTCTTCCCCCCCTCCCGCTCCACCACCCACACAGCCTCCGCTTCCTCCCACGTGAACCCGCCCAGGTCCTCCCCCCGCCACGCACCGAACTCCAGCCCCAGCCAGTCCACTTCCGCCCAACTCTCCCCGCGCCCGCTCCTCCCACCCGCGCGCCTCTGCTCCGCCTCCCCCTCCTCCAGTTTCAGCAGCGCGCACACGTCAAAGCTCCTCCGCCGCTCCCCCAGCCCGGGCCCCGCCTTCCACACGTGCGGACCTCTTGAGCTCCCGCCCTCCGCGCCCGCACCCTTTGCCACCTCAACCTCTCCCGCTTCCCCCTCTGCTGCGCCCTCTCCGCTCCCCACTAGCCCGCCAGCACCAGCCACACCAGCGGCGTCAGCGGCACCAGAAGCAACAGCAGCGACAGCAGCGGCGGCAGCAGCAGCAGTGGCATGAGCGGCCCTGCGCCTGTCGTCCGCGTAATCCGCCCAGGGCGTGTCCCCCTGCCCCTCTCCGCCCACCTCCATGCTGCTCGACGGACTCAGCACGGGGATGCTGTTGCTGCTGTTACTGCCGCTGCTGCTGCTGCTGCTGCTGCTGCTGCCGATGCTGTCACTGTTGGCCATAACGCGGCCATGGGCTGAGGCCCCAACATCTGCCCTGTGGCTCCCGCTGCTGCTCTGATTTCCCGCTCGTGCACCCCTGCCTCTTCCCCCTCGTCCGCCTGCCTCCCCCGCCCCCTCGCCCACCGCACCAGACCTATCTCCGTCCCTCCTTGCTCCGCCGCCACTTCCGTAGTCCACTTCCTGAGCCTCCTTTGCTTCCTCTCCCTCCCTCTCTCCATCCTCGTCCCCTTCCCCCATCTCCCCCACCTCCCCCTTTTTGCCCGCCTCCCGATCTTTCCCGACACTCATTTCCCCATCATCACCCTCCCCGTCACCTTTGCCCTCCCCCTCCCCCTCCTCCTCCTCCTCCTCCTCCTCAAGCGGTTCCCCGTCGTCGTCGTCTTGCAGGTAGTGGCTCAGCGAAAACGACGGGGGAAAAAACGCACGTGCAGACCGTGAAGATCCCCCCGTCCCCCCGCTCGCCCCTGCGCCCGCCCCTGTTCCCGCTCCCCGCGCTCCCTGCCCGCCATAGTGCCCGTTTGCTGCGCTGCCGGCACCCACACGGCTCACGAAGCCTCCTGGAAGGTCCCCCAGCGGGTCGTTCTCCTCCGCTCCGCCGTCCGCGGACGTGCTGCGGCTGCTGAACGCGCTGCTGAGAGCGGAAGACGGCGCCTGCTGCTCGTCCGCGCGCTGCTGCTGCTGCGCGCGCATTGCATTTTCCGCCTCCGCGTACAAGCGCACAACGTCCGCCCCACCGCACTCCCCGCCGCTCACGCTGCGGCTCTTCCGCAGCTCTTCCGCCCTCCCCCCGCCCGTCCCCCTCCCGTTCTCAGAAAACGCGCGCCCGCCTAACCCTAGAATCGGCGATCCCAAGGGGCTGTAGCTGTCGTCCGCGCTCTCGCCGCTGCAGCCCACCGCGGGCTGGGCGGACGGAGCATCCCAGCTGCGCTCCTCCTCGTGCGGCACCTCCGGCACCGGCGCTAGCGGCGACCCCGGCCGGCTCGAGCCGTCCAAGCCGCCGCTCAGCCTGCGCCCCAACCCCTCGCCGTCCCCCGCTCTTGGGATCGCGATCGGGGCTAATAACGCGGACGGGGAAAGGGCTGGGAGGGGGATCGACAAGCCGGGCGGCATCGACGCGACGGCCGCAGCAGTCACCGCGGCGACAGCGGCGGCGGCGCTTTCGAGAGCGGCGTCCGGGCTGATGGCTTTAAGCGCGTCTAGAAGCTCCTGAATGGTCGGCTGGCCGTTGCTGCGCGCCGCCTGCGACGTGGGCGGCGCGACGGGGGAGCGAATGATATCGCCGGCGGCAGGCATGTCCCAGGGGGCACTATAGCCGCAGCTGACGCCCCTCGGGCTGCTCGCGAGACTCCCCGACACGCTGTGCGCCGCGCTGCTCGCGTGGCTTCCCGCGCGGCTTCCCGCGCGGCTGTTTAATCTCCCCGCAGGGAAATGGTTTGTCTCGAAGGAGTTAATCTCCTGAACGTCCTTGGGGCTGGTTTCTCTGCTGCTCTGCCCGCTGTTCAGTTGCGTGCCACTGTGACTGTCGCCACGTGGACTGCCGAAGAAGCTGCCACGCGGACTGCCTGACCAGCCGGCACGTGGACTGGCACCGCAGCTGCTAACCGGGCTTCCGCAGAGGCTGCCACGTGGACTGCCAAGTGGACTGCCATCTCGGCTGCCGAGGCCGTCCGCGTCGACCTCTAACCGGTTTACTTGCAGCGACAGCCGTTGCACGCCGACAGCGCCAACCACGGCAGGTGCCACGTCAGCGTACGGAGCCTGAAAGCTCATATCGGGTTCTGCTGAATCGGGAGAAACGGGCTCCGCGACGGGAATGGGGGGAGTGAAAGACGGCGGGGAAACCGGCAGCTGGATTTGATGCGGCGAACCCCGCGACAACCTCGACGCGCGCCCTGAAAATTCCGCGGATGCGCTCACGGGACGCTGTGGTAATTCTGCCGAGGCTAATCGCCTGCCGCTGCCGTCGCGGGTGCGAGGTACGTTGGCGACATTCGCCCCGTAACGCTGATCGATCGGTCCGTGGCCGTCCACTGCTGCGACGGCTGCTGCGACGGGCGACATTCCCGATCTGCCCAGCTGGGACGCGTTCGCGACGTCGAAACAATCGCTGTTACTGCGAGGCAGGAAGATAGAGCTTGGGGTCGTCGGCCCCACGTCCATGGATCCCACGCTCTCGCTCCGCCTTCGCCAGGGGGCAAACGAAGGATGCGTTTCCGATTTCGGCGGCACGGTTCCCATGGATGACGTGGTGGAGAGCGTGGCGGCCGGGGGGCCTTTGAAGGTGCTGGTGGACCAGGACGCGGGGAAGTACGACGCGCCGCCCGACGGGTCCGCCATGGACGAACCTGTCATGGACGAGCCATTCGCGAACAAGCCGGCACTCATGGACGCGCTGCGCTGCGCCCGCCTGAGGTTGTGGAAATGGAACTCCTCGCTCTCGCCGCCCGACGACGGCGGGTCCATTCTCTCGCTCATGCTCTTCGCGATACCTTTTCCAGAAACAGCCGGTCGGTTGGCGCTGATCGTGCTATCGATGCGCTCGCTTTTACTCTTCAGTAGCGGGAACTGATGGCACGAGGCAGCCTCGTCCGGAGCTGTTCCTTCCTGTTCCTCCTGTGACACTAGCGTTTTCCATTCGTCCGAAAAATCTCTGGCTACGCCACCCGCACTGTGCCTTCTCCAATTGACGCTTGCCCGTTCGGCTGCTCGTTGCTTCCGCCGTTCCTCCTCTCGCTGCTTCCTCCACATCTTGTCCCATTCCCACTCGGAGTCGCCGTCAACATCCATGCCTTAACCACGGCTTCAGTAGAGCGAAAACTAGCGATGTGACTTGGGAAGAAGATGATGCTAAATAGTTTGGAGCAATGAGAGGACCTGCAAGTCCTAGTGAGCACTGAGCAATGGTTATGCATGAATGGAGGGAAGGGATGAGTTGCTGGAGGTAACGAATGGATTGCTCAAGGCCTTGGCTCGGGGGATTCGAGAATCTACTGTACTGTTGGCTTCCTGTCAGTAGAATCGTATGTTGCCATTATTGTGGTGTACAGTTTGATGTTTCAAACCGACTGTGCATGTACAGTGGCGAGAATAATACGACACAATTTACACCGCCTTGGGAATTGGCTGCACATACACCAGGACAGCGACAAAATGGAAAGACAATTTCCACAACGGATGACGAGGTACGGGGAGGGATGGAGGGTTTTTTCGTTGAAAGGTCTTCGCCCCTCCACACTCCCAGGCCTCTCGTTTCGACTTGGCCAAACTGTCGTGTCAGGTTTACTCCTTCCGCACCTGGGCCAAGCCTGGTTGAGGGCGACAAGTAGGGTATTCTTATGGCAGGACCCCTTTGTGTCAGCAAAGCCTGCATTGCATATAAAACCGGGAAAATATGTCAATGCTAACTTATATGGGGCACTATAACGTGTACTGTAACCATTTCATGGTGTTTTCACGCATTTGGTAACTCTCTTAACGCGTTTGCTAACTAAACACTAGCAGCAGATCACGCGAATGGTAACTATATAAAAAAAATACGAAATGACCCTAATTTCAGGTTTTCCCGCTCCTGCGAAATTAGATTGACAAATCCTGGCGCATCGTGTTTTGCCCTACACACAAAATTTCCAAGGCAAAGGTACTTTGCGCAAAAGTAGCTTCTGGCTGTACTAAATACCGCACAAAACAAGTTTTAACAGCGTACTTCCAGAACATTATGTTTGTTTACTTCTATCGTCTTTCCGGGGCAAAATATACCCTTTCTGATGGCATGCGATACTGAGAGCATCAGGCCCTCAGATTGTTTTTGAGCTAGGCTGAAAAACCAGAGTTGGTACACAACTTAACTCTGAAAATCAGACAAAATAAGGCAAAAATGCCACTGCATACTAGGAAAAACCGCATTTTTCCTGTATTTTTCCAAAAAAAAATGCTGAAATTTCAGAGTTCACTTCAAAAAAAGGCTGAAATATCAGAGTTTTTAGGGCAGATCAGAGAAATTTCTCTGACTTATGGGGGCCTGGAAACAGGGCTTTTTTTTGGTTTTGGAGCACTCTTGTTTCCAGAGGCGTTTTTGGCCTAACCCTTAAATCCAGAGTGGCTGGCGAGCGTTGCTCTTAGATGTCAGTGTAACACTTGCTGTCATTTTAAAAACCCTGTTACCTCAGAGTAACTTTCATCTGTAACCCTGATGGTTACCCATTGTTTGCTATTGCTGTTGCATTGCCAGAATTATTGACTTTTTTAAACTTTGTACACAATGACCTACTACCACAAGCTCACTCATCGTAAGCCACGTCATCCTCCCGTTCGTCGTCCGAACTGGCCTCTGGCCCGCCCTTGTCATTGGCTGGTTGGAAGGGTGCAGGGGATTTTGTAGGCCGCCTCTTCTTCTGTTTGCGCCAGATGTCCACGACATCTGGCCACTCCACGTTGTAATCGAGCATGTGGATGCTCATGAGTTCGGTGAGCCGCGTGTCGTTGAGAGCCGTGCGCTGCCAGCTCTTGATGATGTTCTGCCGTGAAAATCCACGCTCACATTCGACGGTGCTGAGTGGCAGGACGGCCGACGCCTGCCACAGGGTCATGATGTTGGGGTAAGTTCGCCGCCAGTCGCGTGACCTCAGCATGTTCGTCAGCGCCTGGTAGAAGTCCTCGTCCTCGTGGTGCGTCCTCATGACGTGGCAGAAAGTTTTCAGCTCAAGTTCGGCTGCCCGCAGTTCGAATCCTGCCAAAACAGTACGCGCAGCACAGCGTTTTTTATGTACGGAAATGTTAGGTACACATTGACGAGAGGCATTATTACAGGGAAAGCACACATACACGATCGAAAAGATATACACATACCTGGCAGCTGGTGGTTGAAGAGTTTAGAGTTCTCGCGGAGCCACGTGGCACAACGTCTCACACGCGTGTCCGGATTCGCTGGCCACTTGTCCACCCTGAAAAGCTTCAAGCCGCCCATTCGACGAAGATCTCGCATGCGGTGCTTCAGGTTGTACACGACCTCGCGGGCGAAGGCCTTGCCCAACTTCACGCAATCTGCAAGCGTCCCGCCGAACTTGTGCTTCTTGTCCGGCAGCTCGCTGAGCTCGAAGGTGTGCTTGACGGGTATGCCGCTAGCGTCGCGTCACCTCCACCTGACGCACCGACATGTGCGCAAAAAGGTTTGTTAGTCTGTGTGGGCAAATGAAAATTAAACAAGACTAAACGCGTGTATCAACAATCCTTTAGGGCACGTTTTACCTTGCGTCGTTGGAAGAAACGGTTCAGGGAGTTCAACTCCCCCAAAATGTCTGCCAGGAAATACAGACAGAAGTGGAATTTCAGGGTCTTCACAACCGAGGCGATCTTGTGCTTGTACTCCAGAAAGAGCACGATTGCCGACCCCAAAATCTTGACAAGCCGGTTGACCGCATCGGCACGGGAGAGCCAGCGCACGTCGAACAGTCCCTGGTGCTCGAGGTTGGTGCTGTGGATCACGATCTGGAGCTCTTTGAACCGCTCGTACCACGGCGTGGATCTCCCCACGATCTCGCCCACTGCACGGATGGCCTTGTCTACCATCCGGAAATCTTGGAACTGCTCGGCTTTGGCCGTCTCCTTCACAGCAAGTGCTTCGCTGCAAGCAATAGTGGGGTGAGCAGAAAAGGATTGTTACATTACTTTAAAGATCGACTAACGTAAAACCGGTCATTTAAAATTATCAGCCACGACACAAGTACCGATGCGCAATGCAGTGGCAGCCGACCAGGTGGGGGACGTGGACGCGCAGTCGCGTGACAACGCCGGACGTGCCCCCGATCATCACTGCCGCGCCGTTCGTGGACATTCCGGATATCTTCTTCAGGTCGACGCCCACTGTCTCGAGATGCTGGAGCAGTGCGCCCATGAGCGATGCCGCATCACATTGCTGCACGGTTAGTAACGCGAGGAACTCGGTTACAACCACGCTGTTCTTGAGGAACGTGACAAACACAATCATGTGTTTGCCACGGGCGCGATCGGTACTCTCGTCGCACATGAGGCCGATGAAGGGCGAGGCGTGGAGGACGCGCAATTGCTCCCTGGTCAGATACGCGGTGAGAGCCTTGGCCATCTCGGAGAAACCGTACCTGCGCATTCACATAGCACAACGCATTAGCCTCGTTAAACAAAGACGGTTGCTTCGAATACAAACCAGTCAACAGCAACTCACTGCGTGATGTACACTCCATAGCTTTGTTGCGGAATGTTGGCGACCCCCTCCTCTGCGAGAAGCTGCACGACCTGTGGGTACATGTGGATGGGTGTGTCGGTACGGCACACAAAACGCATGGCGCGCATGAGTACCGCGACGCGACAGCCTTCCGGATCTCCATTCGTGAAGTCTTCAATCTTCTTCTGGTCCACGATCTTCTGCAGAAGGTTTGCCTGCTTGTTCATGGCGTCGTGCTTCGCGCTGTTCTCGTGCCACCGCATCGACCCGATCTGCAGATCACGACCGCCAGCGCCATTGCGACCGTAACGCGCGTTGTCCTTCCCGTGCTCCATGCAGACACTGCAGCGCAGGCACGGGTCACCCTCTGGCGTCTTGTCCAGAATCAGCCAGTCAAACTTCGGCAGCCAATCAGACTTGTAGCTCTTCTGCGCCTTCAGGTACGCCTTCTCCTTCTTCTCCTCATCTGTAAGGGGACGAATGGGGGGTGGGGCAGCACGGGGAGGTGGAGCGACGGGCTTCGGAGGCGGTGTTCCCCACTGCAAAACCTGCTGCGTGTACCGTCGCTTCTTCACAGCGACTGAACCGGATGACTCAGGAGTGGCCGCATCGACGACCTGCGTTGCAACCGTTTCAGCCGGCTCTGCAGCAACCTCGTTTCGCGGCGAGGCGATCCACTCCTCAACACTGTCGGACTCAGCAGCGTCATTCATCGGGCGCGGAGAAGGACACCAATCGTCGTACGCATCTTCCATGCCGCCACTTTCCTTGCCAGGACGGCGCATCCATTCGGTACCGCCATCGCCCAGCTCCTCCTCATCGCGAGCGTTATCTGCATGCACAGCGCGGAGAAACTGAAGCCCTGTCGCAGGGGGTGTGATACATGTCGGCCTGTCGTCGGGATCAGCCGCGTCTCCCTCGGCGTCGCTAGTATCCATGATATTGACGGCAAAAAAAAAGGTTAGGGAGGCGGGGCTGTGGCTGGAGAAGCCCTCGGAACACTCGCTAGACTGGAACGTTGAAGAGCAGTGCTGGGTGGAAGAAACATAATGGCTCAGACAGGATGGGGTTTGGTGGTAACCCCGTATGCCTGCCGAGCAACAGGTGTGGATGTGCGCGCCGCGCACGAATTCAGTGCACCACAGGAAGCTGCCGTATCATGCCCGAAAGTTGGAGTTGTTCATTGCTGATGGGGTACGCAAAGCCAACGATGTATCCACTGGGTGGCCAGTTGAGTGCGCTGAGGCGCTGGCGGTGGCCAGAGCCAGCAGCCGACTCCGTCGCCCCAGGAGCTTCGTGAGTGGTACTCTCAGCACGGGGGGGGGGGGGTGGACTTAGCTGCACGTACGTCATCCGCACAGGTGACCGCACTGGTCAGACGTGTGGGAGGGCGCACACCACGCAGCGCTACTTCTCCCGCCTCGACGACGCTTGGCGTACTCAGTTCCCTGCTGCCACTGAGCTGCCCCGCTGGGCTGATCTGATGAAGAAAAACATTGATATCTATGCTCTAGACTTTGATGCTATTCTCACTGCCATGTATGTGTTGTCTACTAGTGGAGAGGGTGCTCAGTACCTGCGTGTTCCGCCCGACCCGGGCATTCGGACCAGTGAGGCTGCCGCTCTAGGTGCTAGTGCGTCTGTTGCCCTAGGTGCTGGTGAGGCTGCCGCTCCAGGTACTCCCGTATCTCCTGCCCCAGGTACTGGTGAGGCTACTGCTCTAGGTGCTCGTGAGTCTGCGCCCCCTGGTACTGAGTCTACTGAGGCACTGCACACCTTCACACTGGACTCAGGTGCTTCTCGCTGTTTCTTTCGTGACCGCACTGCCCTTGAGCAGCTTGCTCGGCCAGTTGCTGTCTCCCTTGCTGACCCCTCTGGGGGTCCGGTCATTGCGACCTCCTCCACTGTCCTTCCTTGTCCTGCAGTTCCGTCGGGCACACTGTCAGGTCTCCACCTCCCCTCGTTCTCTACGAACTTGGTGGCGGGTTGTGCGCTCCAGGACGGGGGTGTCCACCAGTTCACCCCTGCCTACGAGCGCGTGACACACTGCACGTGTGCTCGGACGGGCCGTCACCTGGCTACCTTCACTCGGCAGCCGGGGTCGGACCTGTACACACTGACCACTGAGTCCCCTCAGGTAGCTGCGTCTGCGTCTACTTCAGGTCAGCTGTCTGCCCCCTGCTCTCTAGCACACGAGACCGTCCTCTGGCACCACCGCCTTGGTCACCCGTCAGTGCAGCGCCTTCGTGCCATGCACAAACGGTACCTTGTCTCTGGTCTTCCCAGGGTTCTCCCTCCCCTCCCACCCTCGCCTGCTCCTCCCTGTCTTCCCTGTGTCGAGGGGCGGCAGCGCGCCGCTCCTCACTCCTCCTCGTTTCCCCCGACGACTGCTCCCTTGCAGACGCTCCACATGGACGTGTGGGGCCTAGCCCGCGTCCGTGGACAGGGTCAGGAGAGGTACTTCCTGATCGTTGTTGACGACTACTCGCGCTACACCACGGTCTTCCCCTTGCGCACCAAGGGTGAGGTCCCTGATGTCTTGATCCCTTGGATCCGCGCTTCTCGTCTCCAGCTCAGTGAGCGTTTCCACTCGGACTTTCCTGTCCTGCGTTTGCACTCTGACAGAGGTGGTGAGTTCTCCTCCGACCTCTTGGCAGCCTACTGTGCGGAGCACGGCATCCGCCAGTCGTTCACGCTTCCGGCCTCTCCACAGCAGAATGGGGTTGCTGAGCGCCGCATTGGCTTGGTCATGGAGGTCGCTCGTACCTCCTTGATCCATGCGGCTGCCCCCCACTTTCTGTGGCCGTTTGCGGTCCGATACGCTGCGCATCAGCTCAACCTCTGGCCCCGTGTCTCCTTGCCGGAGACTTCCCCGACACTGCGTTGGACGGGAGAGGTTGGCGATGCGTCGCGTTTTCGGGTCTGGGGTTCTCGAGCTTTTGTTCGCGATACGTCCGCGGACAAGCTCTCCTCCCGCGCTGTTCCTTGTGTCTTCCTTGGCTTTGTCCCGGACGCGTCTGGTTGGCAGTTTTACCACGCCACCTCGCGCCGTGTCCTGCCCTCTCAGGACGTCACTTTTGACGAGTCCGTGCCCTACTACCGCCTCTTCCCCTACCGCACTGCCCCGCTCCCCCCCCCGCCTCTCTTCCTCGCGCCAGGTGCTGCTGTGGTAGACCCCCTCCCCCCTCAGGGTGCCGCTCCCTCAGGTGTGTCCCAGGTAGACCCGGTTGAGCCTGTCGAGGTAGCTGTCCACTCTCGTCCTGCTAGGGGTGCTGAGCCTGAGCGAGCGGAGCCTGAGCGTGCGGAGCCTGGGGGTGCGGAGTCTGGGGGTGCTGAGCCTGGGGGTGCGGAGCCTGCGGGTGCTGAGTCTGGGGGTGCTGAGCCTGGGTGTGCTACGTCTGAGGGTGCTGAGACTGAGCGTGCTTCACCTGGAGGAGCTCTCTCCTCACAGCAGCTACGAGAGTGGTACTTACAGTACTGCAGCCTCAGGAGGGGTGCTTCTGGAGCTAGGAGTGTTGCTGGAGCTGGTGCTAGTGCTTCCCCTCCTAGGCGGGAGCTGCCCTCTCCCCAGCGGCTCCGGGAGTGGTACGCTCGGCGCTGCAGTCTCCGGAGTGGCGCTCCTAGTGCCGCGGACCCTGGTGCTGGAGGTGCTGCTGGTGCTGGAGGTGCTGCTGCTGGCGGTGCTGCTGGTGCTGCTGGAGGTGCTGCTGGTGCTGGTGCTGCTGGAGCTGCTGGAGGTGCTGCTTCTACTGGAGGTGCTGCTGGTGCTGCTGACGCTGCTGGAGGTGCTGCTGGTGCTGGTGGTGCTGCTGGTGCTGCTGGAGCTGCTGGAGGTACTGCTACTACTGGAGGTGCTGCTGGTGCTGCTGAAGCTGCTGGAGGTGCTGCTGGTGCTGGTGGTGCTGCTGGTGCTGCTGGAGCTACTGGAGGTACTGCTACTACTGGAGGTGCTGCTGGTGCTGCTGGAGCTGCTGGAGGTGCTGCTGCTGCTGGCGGTGCTGCTGGCGCTACTGGAGGTCCTGGGGGTGCTCGTACTAGAGGTACTGGAGCTGCTGGGACTGGGCCTGCTGAGGGGGTTGTTGCTGGAGGTGCTGAGCGGCCGCGGCCGTACTACGTTCCGCTCGTTCAGCAGGTTCTTAGTCTCCCGCCCTCTACTGGTCCTTCTCCTCCCCTACTGAGTCCACCGCCTGTCCAGTCGCAGTCACAGTTACAGCCAGCCTCTCCACTGCCTGGTCCTTCTCCTTACGCTGAGCCGACGGGAGGTCTTACGGAGCGTCGTGAGCCTGAGTCTCGTCCTCCGTCGCCTGAGTCGCGTCCAGAGTCACCTGTCCGTGCTGTCCGCGCTGGTCGTCGTGCTCCGCGTGAGCGACCTCCTCCTGTCCCTGGCACTCACTATATGACTCTGCGTCCTTCCACTGCCCCACAGCGTGTCCCTCTGCCGTCTCCTCCTGCGTCCTCTCTTCCTGCTCTTGCTGACCCGGAGTCTGACTCTCTTCGTGCTGCCAGTCCTACTGTCACGCGTCTCCTTGCCACTGTTGTCACTGACCCTTCCTTCGAGTCCTCTGCTGCGTCTGCTCTAGTCGCTGAGCTTGTTGACTTTGCTGCCGCCTGTCGTCTAGACTACGCCGCTAGCCTTGTTGCTGAGTCTGAGTCTGTCTGTCCTCCGTCCGTCGGGGGTGAGTGTGCTCTTGGCACGGACGTCCTTGAGGACAGACAGGAGGAGTTTGAGTGCTTTGCCGCTGCTTTGCCTCATCTCGTGTCCATGCTAGTTGCCCCTGAGGGAGAACCGGATGCACCAGACATCCCGACCCCACGCTCCTACGCAGAGGCGATGGAGGGTCTCTACTCCTCTCAGTGGCAGACAGCCATGGACGCAGAGATGGCTTCCTGGAAATCCACAGGCACCTACGTCGACGAGGTTCCCCCACCTGGGGCGAACATCGTCAGTGGCATGTGGATTTTCAGGGTGAAGCGGCCGCCGGGTTCTCCGCCTGTCTTCAAGGCGCGTTACGTTGCACGAGGCTTCAGACAGCGAGAGGGAGTTGACTTCTTCCAGACCTTCTCCCCGACCCCGAAGATGACCACTCTTCGGGTTCTGCTGCACGTCGCCGCTCAGCGTGACTACGAGCTCCACTCTCTTGACTTCAGCACTGCGTTCCTACAGGGCAGCCTGCACGAGGAGATCTGGCTGCGCCGCCCACCTGGCTTCACTGGGTCGTTCCCTCCTGGTACCCAGTGGAGCCTCCGGCGGCCAGTCTACGGTCTCCGCCAGGCACCCCGTGAGTGGCACGACACACTGAGGACTACGCTTGCGGCTCTTGGGTTTGCTCCTTCTACTGCTGACCCGCCGCTGTTTCTACGCACCGACACCACTCTGCCGCCGTTCTACGTTCTCGTGTACGTCGACGACTTGGTCTTTGCTACTGCTGACACTGAGGCACTCGCCCACGTGAAGTCGGAGCTGCAGAAGAGACACACGTGCACAGACCTGGGTGAGCTGACAAGCTATCTTGGCTTGCGGATCACCCGGGACAGAGCACAGCGCACCATCACCTTGACTCAGTCACACATGGTGCAGCAGGTCCTTCAGCGCTTCGGCTTCACGTACTCCTCGCCTCAGCCCACTCCTCTGCCTACCGGTCACTCGCTCTCAGCTCTGCCTTCGGATGAGTCCGTAGAGCCGAGTGGCCCGTATCCAGAGCTTGTTGGCTGCCTCATGTACCTGATGACCTGCACTCGACCTGACCTTGCATACCCTCTTAGCATCCTAGCACGCTATGTCGCTCCTGGCCGTCACCGGAAGGAGCACATGGATGCCGCTAAGAGGGTGTTGCGTTACCTGTGCAGTACGTCGGGCATGGGGCTTGTGCTTGGAGGACGGCGCGACGTTGTCCTCACTGGACACTCAGACGCTTCTTGGGCTGATGACCAGGCTATG